GCCGGCCCTGGCCCGCGATGTGTCGTTGAATGCTCGCTTGCAGTGGAGGAGACGAGGGGTCGGGTGGGCGGCCCGGCCTAGCCCAGCCGGCCGGGCCGTGTTGAATGGGGCAAGCCCCGTCCGCTGGCTGCCGCTGGCCCACTGGAATGGCAAACTCGGTGCCTTTATCAAGCGCGGTCCGCCAACGGCAGCCAAAGGCAGGCAAGCGGGCAGACTGCCTGTTTGCCCTCTCTGTCGCACTCACGGCGCGCCGTGGAGGAGCGAGAGAGACAGAGCGAGCCGGCCTGCAGGCAAGCAGGCAAGGCAGTGGACCCGCAGTTCGACTCGTGACAAAAGCGCGCTGCGTGGCTGCGTGTGTGTTTAGGACCGTCCCAGGGTTCTTGGCCTCTGCAATTGCACTGCCAAGCCGACATTAGCAGGAAGGGGAAATAATTTGCAGTAGTTGGGGAGCTTTTTTCCAAATCCAGTGGGCCAGAAGACCAGTGGACGCGGCCGAAATGCCGGACGCGTTTTGAGCTCCTGAGTCGCTAAGCAGGACTCGAACCGAACGTGTGACCCCACCAACGTATTCCTCGTTCGGAGAGCAATGCATTGGTGGGGGGTCACACGTTCGGTTCAAGTCCCATTTAGCGACTCTGGAGCTGAAAACGCGTCCGACATTTCGTCCGCCTCCACCGATCTTCCGGCTAATCCACTGTGCGACGACTTCTCACAGACGGCGGTATTCTCGACGCTTGATCCATAAAAACCCGTGTGAAAACGCGGAATGTGGGACGCGCCTGAGGAGCCCTCGGAGAGCCTCTCCCCTTCACACCGCGGTTCAATCAGAGTGGCAAATCTTGCCTTCGTTTTTTGCACTCATCTATCATCCGCTCTCATTTGGCTGAGGGCACCGACCGAGCGCGGAAGGGTCGTTACAGTACTTGGAGTTCCCTCTCGCAAGAAAAACAACAACCCGGTCGATGCATTTTCGATTTCGGTTCGGTGTCACTGGGGCGAGGCGAGCTCTTCGAGTGCAGGCTCGACGACTACAGTGTCGTGGGGCGACTCCCTCCAGGTGCGGGCCACACCCACACTGCGCACAGTCGGCCCGGTTCAAACGGAGCCAAGTTTCGCAGGGGGAGGGGGGAGGGGAATCTGCCCGACGAACAAATGTCACCGAAGTTAAGGCTGACGTGCTGTTTCGACGGGCTGGCTGGGCCGGGCTGCAGACTGAGTCTGTCTCTCTCGCACTCATGGGGCGTCCCGTTTAGGTGCGAGAGAGACAGAGCGACGACTCTCTCGAGACTGTCTCGTTGAGGTGCTCGGGGTGTCACCACACCACAAAAAATGATAGCGCTGTGGGGGCTGCGATCAGAGGGGTGGACTATCCGGGCTCAACAGTAGTGTTGCCAATCTGTTGGAGCAATTTTTTTTATCTCTTCAAATTTAAAGTGGCTTAGTCTGATCTCTTTACCTTTGAAGAATTTTGGTAAATTTCGGGGAACCGTAGACGGTGAATTTTGTTTCAATGAGTGGGCGGACGGCAAAAGAGCAAGGCGGGGTGGAGCTGGCGGTGATCAGTGAGTCAGTAGTGCAGCGGAGAGGGGGGGGGAGGGGGGTGCGCTTGGGGTGCAGTGGTCGCCCGAGGCCAAAGTTTTCCGAATCGAGGGGCAGCGCGGTCCACCCTGGCGATTAGGTAACCCACCTCGCTCCAGGTCGGGTCGTCTCTCTCGCACCGTGGGGTGTGCCCCTCAGGTGCGAGAGAGACAGAGAGAGACAGACCGCGTCTCGGAATCAGTCGGCTCAGCCGCCACGCCCCAGGGTCCGTGCCGGGCCGCGGCGGCCTGGGGCCCAGCAGAATGGTTCCGGAGAGTCGCGCTGTCTCTCTCGCGCTCGCGGCGCGTCCCGTAGCGGTGCGAGAGAGACAGCGCGGCGGCCTCGCGAGGGGATGGCGCCCCTAGGCAGGCAGGCTGGAGCCCTCCGCCCCGGCCGCACAGTGGGCCAGAAGACCGGTGGAGGCAGACAAAACTCTAGACGCGTTTTGAGCTCCAGAGTCGCTATTTGACTCGAACCGAACGAGTGATCCCGCCAATGGATTGCTCTTCGAACGAGGAACCCATTGGTGGGGTCACAGGTTCGGTTCGAGGCCTGTTTAGCGACTCTGGAGCTCAAAACGCGTCAAGAAGTTTGCCCGCCACCACCGGTCTTCTGGCCCACTGTGCGCCCCGCGCCGCGCCCCCCGAGGCCAAGACGAAGCCAAGCCTGGCGAAGCCTGGCGGCCGTTTGGATTACGTGACACGCAAACCCGGCGAGCCGCCCCGCCCCGCCCCGCCCCGCCCGGCCCCGCCCCGCCCCGCCCCGCCCCGCCCCGCCCCGCCCCGCCCCGCCCCGCCCCGCCCCTCCCCGCCCCGCCCCGCCCTGCCTGATAGCGCGCACCTGGCCGGGCCTGAACGCCTCATCTCAGGATGCCGCGGAATAAGGATGGCGCGACACACGACGCCCCCCCCCCCCTCCCACGCGTCACAGCGTGCATTTCAATAGGCGGCCCCGCGAGGGAATCCCCCGCCAAATTTGGATGATGACGTTGCAACGGAGAGTGACGTGACCAGGGCTGCGCTGTCTCTCTCGCACCCCTACGGGACGCTCCGCGAGTGCGAGAGAGACAGCGTCGCTCCGCAAGGAAACGCGGCGGGGAATAAAAATGTTATTTCTCGGCCATGATGAGCGGCGGCTGGTTGGCGGCCCTGCCCGGGCGGCGCCAGGTTTACCTCCAGTGCTGCTCGTTTGCCGCGGTGTTTGTGCAACTGATATTCTTCGCTCCCCTGCCCGGGACCCGGGAGGATCTATCTATCTATCTATCTAGCCTCGGCCGCGACTGGCTGGTGCGCATGTGCAGCCTGACACGCCGCCAGCGACCTAACGCTCGGGGTGTGTTGTCCGATCCGCAACCTAACCACCCCCAAAATAAAAACGTTGAATTTTATTTTTAAAAAATCCCACTCTTTTTATTTTTAATTTTAAAGACATTTTTCGTTGAGGGTTCTGAAAATATTTGTTTAATTTTGAACTGCCAGTCAGCGAAAGATAGTGACCAACGTCGTCAAGAATCCATCCGAGTTGTTCCTCGGCCTTTATTGAATGTGAATGAGCCGCTAGTACTCGCAACGCGGCATCCCACTATGAATCCGTTTGGAAACTGCGTGCATTGGCGTTCGTTTTCACGGCCTGTCTCGGCCCGGCGGCCCGGCGGGACGGCCGTTAAAAAAGGCGCGCTTTTCCGGCCGCTCCTTCTTGGCGGCGGCGCGGCAGTCGGGCGGAGAGAGCGCAAACCAACCAACACGCGGAGGGCGGGAGCAGGCGGGAGGGAGCGAGCGAGAGAGATGAAAGGTTGCAGGAAGGAAGGAAGAAGCGAAGGGAGGGTGGCGGGGGAAGTCAGCGCGTTGACATGAATTGGCAATCAGCCGCAGCCCCGTACGTGCCGGGGGAGGGGGGGGGGGCATCGCCCTCGACATCAGCGTTACCACCAACTGCGGCCGTTATTAGCGGGCAGACTACGTTACGCGTTACGCAACACCTCAAGACTCGCCCGCGGACAGGACCTCTCTCTCTCTCTCTCTCTCTCTCTGCGTATGCACCACGGCCTTTGAGGGCCATCGTGAGCCCGGTAACCGCCACCTCCACCATCATGACCATGACGTTGACGCGATGATATCGTATGCGGCTAGTGCGTAAATTTAAAGTCTGAAATATTTTTTTTGCTTTTTAAGTTTGCTGTCGGTTAGAAAAAAGTGCATTTTGGTTCGATTAATTCGCTGGATAAAATACCTCATCACCCTGTATGTTTTTTTTTTCGAAATTGTGAACCACATTATATTTTAATTACCATACATCTTTTCATTCCATTTTTGTTTCGTTTTAAGGATTAGGGAAAGCGAGAGAATTTTGAAGTTGTTTTCTTTTTCTGCGCCTCCGTGCCGTTCCTTTCCCCTCTCCCCTCCGCCCGGCCGGCAGCCTGGCCCGGGGGTGGACTTGCCCAAAGTGCAGTATGGGCGTTAGGGCGATGGGCGCAGAGCGCTGCGGAGCGCGGTCACATCAGCCTAACGCCCCCGGCCTGTGGGCCTCTGGCAGGCCAGGCAGGCCAGGCAGGCCCGTGCTGCCGAAACAACCCCCTCCACCGCCACCAGCCGACGTCGGTGCGCCCACATCGGTGGCAAGTGACTCGGAAAAATAAAAACAAACTTACAAAAAAAAAAAAAACATTTTTTTCCGACAGACAAAACCGCAGTTTTGTAAAAAAAAATAGATGTGTTCATTGCAGTAGATTATTTTAGTCTCATTAGCTTCGAAAAAAGTAGAACGAAATTAATCTAATTTTGCGGAGGATTCAATTCGGTTGGTCCCGGGTTCTAATCCCGCGGCGCGTCGTTTTCCGATACAGCCCCATTTGACGGCGTCCCCGATGGAACCCCCACCGGCCGGGCCGTGGCCGGGCCAGACCGCACGTTTGGCCGATTGGGCGGCGAGTTTATGAACGGCGCTCCGAATTAGAAACAACGCCTCGTCGTCTCGTTGGCCGAGGGAGTACCGCCATCGGCGCCATCAGGGGGAAAGAAAGGGTCGCGGCGATACCCCCCGTCCAGCCGGGCCGACGGGCCTCGCGCGCGGGGTAGAGACGCGCGCATTCACGTTCGATTCACCGACAGGTCCAGTCCGCCGAGCGAAAGGCAGCTGGTCGAAAAAGATAATGAACAGAAACTAAGCAGGTGAAGGCTCCGGTTGGTGGAGGCACCGCGCTGCAGTGACGTGTAGCGCCCGCCAGGGTAGGCCAGCCCGCCGGACAAACCACGACGTCGCAAGGCGCCCCGTGACCCTCACCGTTCCGACGCACTTAAAACCAGAAAGCACATCGGGAGTTGAAGCGGAGGGGGAGTCGAACTTTCTCGCTCTGTCGTTTACGGCAGTGGCGTAAATCGACCAATGGCGCTGCTCCTCTGACGATGCGTTGTCTCTTGTTCCAGCGGGATGCAGGACGCTGCTGCCTTTCGCCTGGACCCTGCTCATCGCCGCCGTCCTGGCCAGGGTCACCGCGCCGCTCTGAGAGCCGTGGTGAACGCCATGGTGAACGTCTTGGTGAAAACCGCGGTGAACGCCGTGGTGAGCGCAGCGTGCTGAAAGCCCCGACGATGCACTGTGGTGAAATAATGACATGGTGAATATATCGTCAAGGTGGCGCGTGCTTGGTGGTGGTGGACAAAAGTGCGCGCGTTCCCTGGTGAAAAGTGATTGGAGAGTGGTGCACACCATGGTGTTCACGTGCATGGTGAACACCGTGGCCAACGCGCGAGTGCTGGTGAAAACAATGATGAACATGTGTGCTGAAAACCATGGTGAACACGAACCGGAAAACGCCTGCAGCAACGCCATGGTGAAAGGCATGCTGGACGCGGAGGTCATTGGTGGTGGATGGGGACACGGTGATGGGGTGGTCAGCTCAATTGAACAAAATTGTGGTGAAACCAGCGTATTCTGCCCTAAGAAGAGCGCTGGACATGTAGTAACGAAAGCAACTCAAGTGGCAAAGTCTCTTTTATCATAAATGGTGAGTTAATGTAAAACCTGTCGAACGTGTTTGGAAATATTTTTAACAATGCATTCAATAGACCAAAACACCCGCATCGCGGCGCCCAATATATACGCTCGTTGTGCCTTAATGATAGGAAATATAGTTCTTGGCAAATGTATAGTAAGTTTACGCAGCTCCGGCCTGGAACGCGCATACTGCTGCACTGCAATATTGAGCGAAAGCGGCAAGCCAATCGCCACCCGGAGCGGCAGAGCGTCTAACTACATATCATTACTGTGCAAAAAAAAAGAAAAAATGTAAAAAAAATTGTCCCCGGCACGGCGATACACTGTTTAAAAAATTAAACTTCTGTCTTCAACAGGAAGAAGTACTATGTTTCTTTTTTTTTATTCGATTGTGTGCACATGTCTTACGAAATCATGCTTCTAGAAATTCTGTGCGTTCTATGTGAGTGTTGGGTAAACTGCAGACTCGAGTGCGGTGCTGATGACTGGAGCACGTAGCCCGAACAGCGACCGCTCAATACTTTCCAAATCCTACCAATTCAATTGCTTGCGTCCCAAAATTATTATTTTTTTTTGAAGCGTTGTCTCCTGTCCGCCTCGCACAGCCCGCCCGAAAGACCGCCTCAAACTCCTCGCTAAATTTCCGTTGGACTGCGCGCATACTACACCAAAGGCCCTGAGAAAAACCTGATGATCGGAACGTGCTCGTCCAGACCCGGACGGGGCGGGGCGGGGCGGGGCGGGGCGGGGCGGGGCGGGGCGGGGCGGGACGGGGCGGGGCGGGGCGAGGCGGGGCGGGGCGGGGCGGGGCGGGGCGGGGCGGGGCGGGGCGGGACGGGGCGGGGCGGGGCGGGGCGGGGCGGGGCGGGGGGGGGGGCGGGGCGGTGGGGTCGGGACAGCGCCGGTCACGCGCGAGGCGTCCCGCCTTTGCCGCTTTGCCCGCAGTTTACGCACACAGTCGCAGCGCACGCGCCTCAAATAACAACAAAAACAACAAAAAGGGGGAAAAGGCGGGAAAATTGAATGTACTGGCTGACCGGAGTTGACCACAGCCGCGCTCCCAGCGCTCCCAGAGACCGTGCGAAATGCGAGGGGAGGGGGCACGCCGGGCACGGTGTCCCGCGATCACGTAGCTTGCGCACAAAGTCACAAAAAAATATCAAAGCTATCTGCTCCCCCCCACACATTTTGTTTCTGAAAAGGGCAGTGCATCTGTACATGAAATCATGAAATTTATCGGAGCGTCGTCGCTTTAGTTTAATTTCATTGTGACTTGGGCTGCCGATGGAGGATGTCGCTACTCTAAGGTTCGTGAGCTAATGTAAGTCCGGGATGAGCAGCGCGCAAGAATGCTCTGTTTGTATTGGTGGGACGGCAGGCCGACGGCCGGCATCTCGACAGGCCGCCGCGTTTGACTACGTTTCGTTGCGACCGGTCGCGCCTCCATGGAGTCACGCGCTCGTCGAGACTTGATGTCCGATTCGACTTGGATTAAAAGACGAAACCGTACTGAAGGAAATAGTATACTATGGTAGGTTTGTACAAAAGTACATATTGAAACAAATGTATTCCATTGAATGCTCATGTTTAGTTTGCGTGTCAAACGGAGACTAACCAGACCCTTTACTCTTAATGTTTTGGTTCGTTGTTTATTTTAAATTGTGCATGTTCGTGAGTGCGTGTATTTTGTGATGTTTTGTGTGCGGTTACGTTTGGCATGCTCCTGCAAGCATGCCTACGAAATGTTGTTGTTGTGTTGTAGTTTACTGTGAACAAATAAAAGATGAAACATTCCTACAAGCCTGCTTGCATCCCGTGAAACCACGAGCCGCCACGGGCCCCGAGAAATGGTTGCCTCAACGGCTGTGCCATTTTCGCACTGACAACTAATTTCTGCTTCCTGCCCTGGGCGAGCTAGGGCCAAGGGCTAGGGCGTAGGCAGCCCAGCCTAGCTCAGCCCGGCAGGACGATGTGCAAGAATTGATGGAACTGAGGGCTGCGTAGGGCGGCGCGGGGCCGGCAGCAGACGCTTGCACCATCTGCTGGACCAACTCATCAGAATACGCCCCCACCTCCCGCACTGCCTGCCCGCCAGTGCCCGCCAGCCCCAACTCTTTGCCCCCTCCCTTTCCACCCCCGTCCCTTACCCACATCAAATTGTGTCCGCATGGCCCTCCCAAAAACAGCTTTTGTATTGCCGCAAACAATTACAAAACCAAATACGACAGACGTGCGAGGACCGAGGACCCCGACGGCGACCCAAACAGCACAGCACGCAGTGCCACGCCACGCACCCCGCAGTCCCCATACCTGTCCCCCAGACCCTCCCCAGGGCCCACACCCAGACCGTTCGACTCGGCATGAAAACGATCTGTCCCTCTCGAGGACACCATCGTCGTCCCCGCCTTCCCCACGCTAGGCGCTGTCTCACTCCCACCCCTCGCAGGCAGGCATCACCCACTTTTCCCTCCCAAATGAGCGGGACAGAGATGGAAGGGGTGGTTGCTCCTAGGTGCGACAGAGAGGGAGGGAGAGCTCGCCCCGCCTTGGCTAGGCCCTACGCCTCGGTCAGGCCCCGCGTGGCCCCGCGCCAGACTGCCAGACGCTCGGCGCTACCTCTGTTTAACCCCTCAAGAATTTTCATTATCCTCCAAACTGGGAATAAAATTCTCTTTCCGCCAGGAATGACAAGCTTCCCGACCACGAGGAGGAAGAGGAAAAGGAAATGGCAGACGCTGGTTCCGTGGCGCTGGGAGGGGGCTCTCGATCCTCCCCCACCCCTCTCCATTCGTCGCTTTCCTTCGTTGGGTTCCCCGCTGCCGCTAGCGGTCACTCCTTTGTTCTCCTTCCTCTTTCCTACCTGCATTCCACGAAATAACCCTTTGTTTTTGGTTAACTTCAATTTTTTTTTATTTTTTTTAGAAATTTTTATGAAGAGCTTGATTGTATTCTTGAAGAATAAACCAGAATACACATGTACAAAGAAGATTTATTACAGGTCAGTCTCCTGAGCGAGCTCTATTGACAGCAGGTTATTTATGCAGCTAAGAAGATCAGTTCTAAATCGGCACATGAGGTTGTAATTTTCATCAGGATAGTTCATCATTTCAGTAATAACGAAGTATTCTAAGACATCTTTTAAAGAACTTCGTAGATTTTTAATTCTGGTATAATTCCTGCGAACAGAACAACATTAATTCAATTCACTGTTGTTTTTTTATACCCTAAACCGTTAAGTATTTTTGACAGGCTTTCCTTACTCTTTTGACAGAACTAACTTGACATATCTATTGCGCCATGCTCTGACATGAATAGTATCAGAATCAACGTCCTGAAAACAAGTTTTGATTTTTTACATTTATTATTTACAGACGATTAGAATAAGAATACAATAACGTTGAATCATACCTCAGTCCTCAAGTCCGATGGCGAGAATAATAACACCGACAATGGGGAAATGGTGGATGTATCATCAACAAATATCATTTTTTCCTTCCCTTGTCCCGTCAGATACATAGCAAAAGGAAAGTCCATGTTTTCAATATTGTAATTTACACTTCTTGTTGTGATAATAGCAGATTTTCCTGAACTAAAAAATAAATCCTATGTAAATGCATGAGCATACTTCATACTACACCTAAAAATTGGTAAAATTAATCTGCATACCTATCATTCATGTACTGGCTGAAAGGAGTTTTGACCCGTACAAGTAAAGATCCATAACAGTTCAAAAGAATTGATTTAACCAGCATTTCACTATCATGTTCATTCAAATCAGTTCTCTTTAAAAACTCATTCTGGCTTTTAACCATTTGACTTAAAAAAAAATTAAGATCTGTTGGACATGGAAAATAGATTAGTGTGAAAATAAGGAAACACAATGCACCAATGCTACTGAAATTGAAGAAAAATTACTTTTAGTTCTAGAAAAATGGGATCCACTGATAGCTTTGGCTTGGGCTAAGTGATCACTGGAATCATGATGGTCGGCTTTAAGTTTTCTTTCCTCACTAGCTCCGCAAAATTTTATTGGGGATTGTTCTGCACTTGCTAATACTGATACCATGGTATCAGAACATCTGAAAATATAACATACATGCTGTCATCCTATTCAGGCTTCAGTAAGGATCTTCAAATTCTGCTCAGACTATTGTTGAGGAGGCCTGCAAAGTTGGCCTCCGCAACCCTACTAAAGCAAGATACAACTTCAAACTCCGAAAACTCAATTACCTTAAAATTGCACTTTGAATCATAGCTGAAGCTGCTGGAAGTGGGGCACTCATTTTCATGGCAGCTACACCAAGAGCAGTTGGTGTCTCATCATGATGTGATAGAAATGATAGTTCTTGAAGTGTTGTGACTGCTTCAGAGATGTCTTTTTGAGATGGTGGTTGTGGAAACTCCCCAAGCAAAGCTACAGCCTTAATTTTAGGGTTAACTACCTGAAATTGAAGGGAAATAGATTCAAGTCAATCTAACATCTATACATGTCAATGAAGTAAACAGAAAAATTTTACAGGGCCTACCTTAGCCATCATAACAACAGATTCAAGGGAAGAGTTTAAAATGTGGGGTGATTCATGGTCATCCATCTGATTAAATATTTCTTCAGTGAAAAGATGATAACATTCACCAGGGCGAACTCTGCCAGCTCTGCCTCTTCGTTGAACAACATTTGCTTTTGAGATCCAGGTACTACTCATGTCTTCAGATGCCCAGCGTCCTCGAGATATCTGATTTCTAAAAAGACATTTATGAACATTTCAATTTTGTTTCTTTCTAAGAGTATTCTGATGAAGGGATTCCTATCAGAGGTATACCTTTTACAAATCTTGTGAATTCCACAATCAACTACATAAACAATATCTGGAAATGTTATACTAGTTTCAGCCACATTTGTTGCTAGGATAACTTTTCTCAGACCCTTAGGAGCAGGCTTCAAAGCGGCTGAGTGATCTCCCAATCTTCTATGCACTGGAACCACTTTTAATCCTTGTATTGGAGATAATAATTGAGTAAGTTGTGCAATATCAGTCCATCCACTGATAAAGACTAAAATTCCACCATTGGGTTTAGTGTTATGAATCCAGGTAATAACTCTCTGAGCCTGAAAATGTGATTTAAAAAGAAAATGAGATAAAGGTTGTGTGAGAGAGAAAAAGATATAATTAATGGATGTGCTTCCCAGTAAGCCTGGCCTACCAAATTTAAATCTATCTCTGCATTATTGATACTCAGACTTTTTGTATGATCGTAAAATACTGCTGGAAGATCATTAAGATAATGTGCTTGCACAGGAAATATTCGACCAGGCACTTCAATAATAGGCATTGGACCAAAAGAACTGAAATAAGATTGAAGCACATCCGTGTCAACAGTCGCACTCATGATAATGACTCTGAGGTCCTTGTTTTCTTGGAGAGCCTGCCTTAACAAATTCTGAAATACGAAAAATATAGTGAAAGATGTGTACAACATACATACAAGTTAACACATTACAATAAGATTTTTAATATTTTTGCTTACCATGACAAGATCTGTTCCAACATCTCGCAAGTGCACTTCATCTAGTACCACATGAGAAACACCTCGGAGTAATTGATTGCTACTAAATTTGAGGGCAAGTTTCTGCCCAGTCATGAACACAATCGATCCTCCAAGGACAGAGGGGCCCTTTCTCTCCATTCTCACATTATAGCCCACAGATTGTCCAACCTTAAATAAATAAATGAATAAATAAATAAATACAAATCCAGGCAATGAACTCAACAAAAAACGGAGAGATTCAAGCTGAACACAGCTTCTTCACTGAAACTTACTGTTTCCCTTCGGGAGTGGGCAACAAATTTGGCAGTTTCTTTGGCAGTAAGTCTGCGTGGCAGACACACAGCAATATTGCAATAAGCTCCACGACCTTCAGCTATTGCTTCATCAAGAATAAATTGAGGAACTTTTGTGGTCTTCCCACAACCTGTTGCACCTTTCACTAAAGTAACAGCATTATTTTTGATTGCTTGCAATATATCTTCCCTAAGAGGAGAAAAATAGGTGTTAGATGTGATAGGAAAATTTTAAATATAATGAAAACTTTGACACTACCTGTAGTCATCAATGGGCAATTTAAGTTCTCTATGTTTTGTTGGTTTTAAGGTTTGGTTCCATCTGTCAAGATCTTCTGAGGAAGGGAATGGACCACCTAAAGTTGGGTGCAAATTAGCCTTTTCAACATCGTCTAAAGATTTAAAAAAAAATAAAATATTAAGAATTTATATGACGCAACAAAAGTTATCACAAACATTGTCACAAAATATTTCTTACAATAATGCCATGTCCTGTCAAATTTTGAGAGGGCTGGAACAACATCCTGAACAAAGAATAATCAATGCAAAATACATATGATGATGAAACATAAGGTGTGGCTGGATCATCTCACTACCACAGCTCAGCAGGAACATACAAGCATATTTAATTTGGAAACATAAAGAGTAATAGTACCTTTGCATATATATCAAGAACTGAGTCCAATTCATTCACAACAGATTGATTGAGATTAACTTCAACTGTATTCATCCGTGATGTTTCATAAATCATGATAGGGCGAATTGCTTTCGTTATATGTTTGTTGTCGTACAACCATTGTAAGGCTTCTCGACAAGTTTTTCGTAAAGCCATCTGTAGAAAATGATAAAATCAAAGAATCAAAATAAGTCGACTGAGCTCTGAAGGATGGTTGACTCACCTTCTTTTCCGTGGCACTAGCGGTGAATGTTCGGGTCTCTGGCCAGTTCAACGTCAATTCAACCTTGTTGACATTAGAAGGTGTTAAAAAGGATGAAGAGACGGAAAATATTGGGCTCATGTCGAACTTGTCTTGCATCAGTTTGTTTAAAGCCTTTAGGTCCTGAACAGGAGTAGGAAAACGCTCTTGATTTACTTCTACATTCTCCTCCAAAACATTCGGATTCGCGTGGGCAACATGATACTGTCGGTACTCTAGTAAAGAGGAACTACGCCGTTTGTCACAGTTGTAGCAAAGGGCAAGCCTGTTTCGATGTACAACTGGCCATGTTATGTCTGCGAACGAACAAATGGTTAACATAACCTACCAATCGACTTAATTCACACCGCTACTATCACTTTCATGACACGCACTTTGAGATGACAGTCCGCTGACTTGGGAATAATTGATCAAAGTTCGACCAAGAGCCCATCTGGCGGAGCCAGGCCCAAGTTTTGTCAGTAAAAAATGCATTGTTTGGTGCTTTTTCCCATCACGCTATGAACATCACGCACTTCACGCACCCTACGCACCCCACTGCAGACTGCACTGCACTTTGCCGCCGCACCAATCCGCCATACCGTTGTTCTAGAATCGGAGCGAATATTCTCATCATACACAAGTTCACCAACTTTGCTTTGAAAGCGAGTGTAGAAACGGTGTCAGGAAGGAGAGCTTGTTATCAAAGCGTACTGACGTACCCGTCGATTAAGATATCTCCCTTTTCCTATCCTCTTCCAGTCAAACTCTTGTCGGCCGTGGGTTTTTGCAAGCTAGGTCTGTTGGCACGACTAGGCGTCCGGCCAACTGTTTGTTTGTGATTGGTCGGGACGCGGACGACGTCTTCTGAAGCCCTGCGAGTCGGAGTCGAGTCGTCTGATGTGGGGTGGCCGGCTCGCTCTAGCCGTGTTTTTCGTCAGGTAAATTTGTCAATTGGTTCGTCAGTAGATTCCCTTCCATTTTCCCCCTGTCTGGGCCGGCACTTTTTCTCGCTTTGAGTCCCGTTTCGCTTCATTATTGATCTCCATAGCAACGTAACCTTGTGACTTGCTGGAAGTGCAGTGCAGGCAAAGCGACTGCCGTTGCCGTTTGCTCTCAACATTCCTCGCCACTCACGTAATCCTCTCTCTTTCCACACCTTTAGTCACTCAAGTATTTACTCACTTCTGAAAGGTGTGCAAATATTCCCTGCCCGCTTGTCCGTGCACCTGTTAATATTGAGTGCTGTCCTATGAATGATCTGTGGAATGTCAGGCGGCCGCTTATTAGATTAACAGTTTGCTCAAAATTACATTACCTTTTCGTCCGATTTTCTCTCCCTCCGTACTGTTCGTGTTTTGGGACTTTCCTGTTTAGTTTTCACGCTTAGTTCGTTCTCGGTTTCAGTTAATATTTCTGAATCTCTGATAATTGTTTTAGAAACCCATGTTCATTTGACTCTCAAAATGAATGGCAATTACTTACGTACAATCGGGTTTTGAATAATATTTATTTACGTAGGCAGTTGTTCTCTTCTCATTGCTTCGTGTTTGTTCTGTCCATGATGCAAATTCCCACCTCCTTTCCTCTCTCTTCGATGTGGTTGTGTTGTTACATAAGACTAAGTTTGCTATTGTTTTGTAATGTTTAAAATATGGTTATGTTTCTTACATGATTGGTGTCATGCCCTGTTTGTTTCTCTGCAGGCTATTTGAAGAAGTTTCCGACTCCAGCTAGCGATGGATCAGTGCAGGCTGCTTTGCCTGCTCCTCTTGGGTGCCGTGCTTGTTGCACATGTACAGGCTACCGAAAGTGAAAGTGACAATGAGGTGCTGATAGTAATGGTTTTTAACTTGATACAGAAATCCATAGTGCCGCAATCAATATCGGTGTTTGCTTCTATTCTTTAGGATGTGACAGTGGAAGTTGAAGAGACCTCAGATTACTCTAGTCCGCAGCCAAGTGGTAACTACTACTTTGCTGAACACTTTGATGATCCCCAAGATTTCAAGAGAAAGTGGGTCCTGTCAGAAGCTAAAAAAGAGGGAATAGATGAAGATATTGCCAAATATGATGGTAAGTTTATAATAAACCCTACTAAGTTTCACTGTGTGAACCATCTTCTAATTGTTTGTTGTCATCTTTAGGTGTATGGGAAATTGAAGCACCAGTACGAGACGGTCTAAGTGGCGATTTGGGCTTAGTTTTGAAGTCGAAAGCCAAGCATGCCGCTATATCATCTCGACTAAAGAAACCATTTCACTTCCATGACAAACCGCTTGTTGTGCAGTACGAGGTTCTCCTGCAAGAGGGTCAGGAATGCGGAGGCTCTTATCTGAAACTTCTTTCCGCTGATCCTGCCATCAGTGATTTACGCAACTTCCAAGACAAAACCCCATATTCTATCATGTTTGGCCCTGATAAGTGCGGAAATGATCACAAGGTAAGACTTCTTCACTGTCCTGTTTCAGTTTTCTTTTCTAGCTCAGTGCATTAATTTTGGTTTGTCAAATCTCCGCAGCTGCATTTCATCTTCCGTCACAAGAATCCTAAGAACTTGACATTTGAGGAGAAGCACTGTTCCAAGCCCAAAGAGAGGCTGGAAGAACCCTTCAAGGATAAACAGCCTCACCTGTACACACTGATCATCAGGCCTGATAATACCTTCCAAATCAGTGTAGACCACAAGGTAAGCACTCTCCTGGACTGTCTTTTTCTTCTGTATAAATTTTACACTTTGCGGATTTTGTATTTTGGCTCATCAGTTAACAATAAATGGTTCCCCAATGTTAATTATTTTTTCTAGATTGTGAAGGAAGGCAGTTTGCTGGAAGATTTCACACCTGCTGTCAACCCACCTGCTGAAATTGATGACCCTAATGACAAAAAACCAGCCGACTGGGATGAAACAGAAAAGATCCCTGATCCAGACGCTCGAAAACCTGTTGACTGGGATGAATCTGCCCCTGCTCAAATTCCAGATCCCACTGCATCCAAACCAGATGGCTGGTTAGACAATGAGCCAGACATGATTCCGGACCCCAATGCCGAGAAGCCAGATGATTGGTAAGACATTTTCAGGCTGTTTCAAGTTTTGGCTCTGGTCTGTTTATGTCAAATTACAAAATTTTGTCTTCTTCAGGGATAATGAAATGGACGGTGACTGGGAAGCTCCTCTGATCCCTAACCCTCTGTGTGAAAAGGCTGCAGGTTGTGGTGAATGGTCACCTCCAATGATCAACAACCCAGAGTACAAAGGGAAATGGCGAGCTCCCCTCGTACCCAACCCCAACTACCAGGGACGATGGAAGCCTCGCCGTATTGCTAATCCTGATTTCTTTGAAGACAAACATCCATTCAGAATGACATCCATTGTACGTCATCCACAGTTTGAATGTCCAAAGCATTTTTTTTCCCTTTTCATTATTATCTTTATTATGTTATTGTTTGAAAGGCACTTGACTAACCCTATTCTGTTTGTTTGACAGGCGGCTGTTGGATTTGAACTTTGGTCCATGTCTAACATGATTTTGTTTGATAATTTGCTCATCACTGATGATCCTTCTGTGGCTGCTGCCTATGCTGCAGATTCATTTGATCTCAAACGCAAAAAGTTGGATTTGAGTGCTGTAAGTATCCCTCTTGCTTTGCTTATGCAAGATTTCATTTACTCAAGCTTATTAAAATGTTTAACTTGTGGCTGTGGTGTACTCTTTTCTTTGGAAAAAATTATCAGTGAGTCCAACCAAGGTACACCAGTTTCAGCTTTCATTTGGGAGCATTTTTGGTCTATTGGACCAGTGTCTAACCTTGGTTCAGTCAAAGTTTACTTCCACAATTATTTTCCAAGTTGATCTTGTTTTTGGCAACAGAAAACAGTCTGGACTCGTGTCATGAAGTCTATGAACTACAAGCCAGGATGGTGGGCTCTGTACTTTTTGTACATTTTGATTCCTGTCTCTGCTTATGTGTGGTATCTATGCCGACAAGTGAAGGAGGTATACACAGTTTGTGTGCCCCATTCATAGTGCTAGTTTACGACAGATGGACTTGGCCCAAATAAATGCCCCTGCCAGCTTCCTGTAAAACTCTGTAGCCTCCTCTCGATAATGCTTCTACTTTGGATCCTTCCATACCATTATTTTGTGGTGTTCCAAAATGATTGATTGCAGTTAAAATGACTGAAGCTGTAATGATTTGTTCTCTAGGATTCACTTGCACATCTTCATGTTCCTTTAAGTACTTTGTATATGCCCCACAGGAATCCTTTGTTACAAGAGTCATAAACTACACCAATGAGAATCCCTGGCTGTATGCAGTATACATTGTAGCTGTTGGTCTCCCCCTTGTTCTTATTGCCGTATTTTTCTGTGGTTCATCCGTAAGTAGTTTTTACGTTCTAGATTTTTTTTTTGTCCTATCAGGAACATGTTTGTTCAGTAGAATAACCTTCTTTTTGTGTTTATCAGTTACCTCTGAGATGTTGTCCAATAAATATTTTATTTGTAGGAATCTGAAGAAATTAAAAAGGCAGCTCGGGCAAAGAAGACTGATATGGATCTGCCTGATGATGTGCAAGATGCTAATGAACTGCAAGATGAACTGCAGGATGACCAGCAGCTACAAGGAGACGAGGAAGATGAAGAAGAAGACGATGAAGATGGGGATGGGGACGGCGATGAAAGTGAAACCGGTAAGATTCTTGACGGATTTCTATACCTAGTAATTGAAACACCAGAGATACATTTTTAGAAATCTTTGGTTTATTGTTCAAATATTTGTTTCTTTTTTACAGGCACAGCAGCAACATCATCTGAAACTAGCAGAGCATCAAAGAGCCAACTGGACCTTCAAGAGCCAGATCAGGTAAAGTAAAGGGAAAAGAAGGCCCTTTAAAAATAATGATCCTGGAACTTGTTTGTTGATTTGTTAATTTGTTTCTCCTTCTCAGACCACGGAGGGTTCGGGTGATGCTCCTCGTTCTCCAAGGAAGCGGCGTGCCCGCAAAGACTGATTTTCTTCTTTTACCACTCGTCTGGACCCACGCCATGGTAGGTGGTGACGCTAGGGGAATCCTTGGTAGATTTTGCTTGCTGTCCCCTATCCTCCATCCTACCCACCCCCACCTCCTAGCCATGGACATGTGATACATGCAGCCTGTTGTTTCTAAGTGTGCGTGAGTGAGCCAGTTTTGCTGGTGTATGATCTAGCTTCCCATCCAAGGGTGTCTGTCACTAAGCCTATTTAAATGATCTGCATTAATGGCTAAGGTTGAATTCGTTGTAACATATGAGGGATAAGGGTTGCATCTACAGTGAATGGTATTTTAAAATCTTATAAATGAACGGTGTTTTCTTCTGATTGCCTCGTTTTAATCCTCAGATGACTTGTTGAATTTTTCCTAGGTTGTCTGTCTTAGTTCTTTTATTTTGATACACAGTGTGATAGTGGATGGAAAGGTTTCACTCTTCTCATTAGACTGCATTGAAATTTTTCAATTGGTCTCAAGTGATAAATACACTGTCTAAAATAAAAGAGTAGTGAGTTGGGTCAGTTTTTTTAATTATCTTATCAAGTAATGTAAAGGTATTTGTGGACCTGTTGCAGTAATACGATGTTACTGCACTTTTCCACACTGGTGTTTTGACTTGTGTATTATTTCAAACGCATTTTAGACCATTGAACAAGACTGTTTACTGTGTAGCAATGCTTTCCTTCATAAGGAAATATTCCAGTTTTATTTAGAAAATTCATTTGAGGTGACACAATAATTTACTGTTGTTCTTTTAAAATTCCATAAACTGCATAATGTTTGTTAGCTTCCTTGCAAGGGTACAAAGATTTATGGTTGAAGTTAGAAATCTGTTAGTCTTGAAGATTTAATGTATATTTTAAAACCTGATAGTAATAGTGCGTTGATTGTTGCTACAGTGACTTGATACTTGATACAGTATTCTGTTTATTTGCTTTAACACAGTTCAACACCAGCTGTGATTGCTACCACCACTTAAAATGTGCATTGGATGAGCATCAAATTTTCTGCTTTTTGGCAGCATGTATTTTTATCTGACCAATGTTTCTGTTAAACTTTCTCGGGGTATCAGTAAAACTATTCTGGATTGCCACAAATTTAATTATGTTCAATTTGGTTCATGTAATCAACATTCATCAATATATGATTAATACTCTGTGTGTTTTAGTTTATATGTTTCAATACTTACTGTATTGTTTATGCTTAGAGATGAGCTGTTGACTAATGTAAGGAGATCTAGGATTGAAAATAACATTTCAGTACTGGTGGGGAATTCGTTTTCCGCCTAACATAAGATTGCTCATTATATATGTTTCATGTGTCAGGCAAATGATTTCTTATGCATAATGCCTTTTGAAAAGATAAGCTCCTCGCCTAAATTAATAATAAGGTAAGACATGCTGTTGACAATAAAGCAAAGTTTTTACGCATATCGTAGGTACTTGAGAATGTTGCACAGAAGCTTTTTCCATATTCTGCTGTTAAAAAATACAATTCTGGATCTCCTTAGGTGTAAGTTAGGTTGACTTGACCATGGACATTGCAATATTTAGTCAAATAAAATTCCCAGCTCAGTTTGTCATTGTAATTAATACAGTTCTACTGTGAATTATTCACCCTTTTTTTGTACTGCAATGTTTGCTTGCTTGTTAAACTTTCAAATGTTCTGCCGGTGGATCTTGTCAGTTTGAGGCAGTGTGTGTGAGTCAACACTGATTGCTTCATTGTACTACTTTATATTTTATCGCAAGTCATCCTCCTTCTTTTTCCAAAAAAAATAAATAAATAATAATTTATGGTACATTTCATAAAGGCATGAGTGAGCTGTTGTTTTTATAGATCTAGTCATCATGTTCATGTAATAATATGTGTACAACTTTTCTTTCTTACTCATGCCTGTGTTGTAATTGAATACCTGAGAATCTGGGTGTAGAATAAAATATTCAATCAGTATTCTGACCTTTTTTTGAGTATGCCATTAGATCTAAACAGAACACAAACACACCGAATATGCAAGGTGATACACACTCTCGCAAAGGCTTGCTTTAGGTCCAAAATGGTCCATGAAATACTGTCTGGACAGAAAGAGACTGTTTAGGGCCCATATGGCCCAAATGGCCTCAAAATAGAATCGGGAGTCACAAGGGAGTGCCCAAGCACAACATACTCAAATTTGGGCCATTTTAAATTTTTGGCCCAAAACGGTAAAAAACCATGATGTACATGTATATGGCCTTACTATTTTTTGACAAAAATGGTCGACTACCCCAAATTCGTTTTTTTTTCCTTCCCGAGTCATTGGACGAGTAATGATACACAATTATTGTTTTGTTTATTTCATAACAATTTATTGATTTTTAAAAGGGGAGTAGGAAGAATGGAAAATGAAAACAAAATATATAAGATAACCAAATAAGTCAGACTCTTCTATTATAAATGAAACAAAATTGTCAACTTATTGTAAAAATAAGGAGTTCTCAGAACTCTGACTAGAAGTTGATTAACTTAGACTACAATAAGTGTGACAGGTAATCACAGAGATTTCAGGATGTGGCTTCACAGAGTGAGAAGAGTAGAATTATCAGTGTCACCAACAGCATGTTTTTCCAAGAAAAATTAAATTAAGAGCATGTAAACAGGAATAAATTAACAGGTGTTACCTAATTTATCTACAATTGCTCAATGACAGAGTGACAATTTGTTGACATGAGCCAGTTTGAGCTCAAAGAGTTCTGATATTACACATTCTCATTTGTAAAAAGAGACATAGCTGTTGTATCTCATTTTATACACTGATTGCAAAAAAGGAGGTAAATTGAATAAAATGTAGGAAAATGCCTGAATTGGAAAGGCGGCATATCAGATCACTATCTCACATTCAATAGGTGGTCTACATATCAGTGTGTCACATTTTTCAATCTAAGCACTCTCTAACATACCAAGTAATGCAATTGTACAGAGAATGAAACAACAATATAACCCTGTCAAATAATGAGCCAGCATAGGCCATACTTCAATCAGACTGAACCTTTATAATTGATAAAAGTTTGGATATGTTTAATTTGCAACTGATTGGTCAGAATTTTTGAGGTCCCACAACAAGATACATCATTGATTGTGTCTAATTGACAGGTCATACACTCTGCACTGCCAAGAAAGAAGTAAACATTCCAAGTGATTGCAATGCTGGTGCGTAACTTCGACACACACAGGCTCAGTACGTCACCCAGTAGATCACCAAGTCACCCACATGGTGGGATCTCTGTGGGCAAAGCCACCACGATGGGTTCGACTTTTTTAGTGACAATTATTTTAATTCAAGCCCATGCCCACGACAGTTCAGCCCCGCCAACCAAAACTACAATTGGAGAAGCTGATGGAGCTGCCAGTTTGTCGATCGCCGTCGCCCGTATGCATGAGTTGAGGCCCGAAGTTGAGGTATAGGCGAGGCCATCAACGGTTTAGGGGAACGTAGAATATCAGACTTGCAGAACTCGTGGCTCACAGCATCGCAGAACAGCACGGCATTTTCTTTTTTCAATAGGGAAGTATTTCGGGTTCGATACATCGAGTTAGGTGAAGGGCAGCCTAGCTGAGCTGTCGCCTTCTCCTCAGACGGTGGTCGGGTGGTTGCTCGCGCCGGTTCCAGCCGGTCGCGGGCGAGGTGGTGCACTGCTGCACCTTGGGTGACCTTGGGCCTTCAGATGCAGATGGTCCAGCGGTTGGTGGCTCGCGCTGGTTCCAGCCAGGCGTGCGTCAATCGCTCGGCGGCCGAGGCCCGCAGCTGCGGCCTCAGGTCCAGCATGGGCGACAGGAAGTCGCTGAAGCTCTGCGCCTCCTCGCGACTCCACTCGTACTTGTCCTCCAGCACACTGCGCAGCGGCCAGGGCCGCAGCTTGCCGATGTTGCGGAGCGCGCCTGCGGGCATGGGCATGGATGGTCAAGGTTAGGTTAGGTTAGGTTAGGTTAGGTTAGGTCGACCCCGTGGTCGCGGCTGAGATGCTCATTTTCAAGCACACTCACCCTTGGTGTTGAAGAAGTGCTTGGAGTGCTTGCCGTTGGTCACCAAGTCCTTGGGCAGCGGCCCCAGCAGCTCCATGATGTGCGCCAGGTGGTCCTCGTCGCGCGAGTACGTCGCCCCAGAGCGCGGCTCGAAGAGGTAGTCGCCCGTCAGGAGCTCGAAGGCCTGCGAGGAGAACAGACCTGTCGGTCCTGCGGCCTAGACGCGTTTTGAACTCCAGAGTCGCTAAGCCGGACTCGAACCGAGCGTGTGACCCCACCACGATAGCTCTCCGAACGAGGAATCCATTGGTGGGGTCACACGTTCGATTCGAGTCCTTTTTAGCGACTCTGAAGCTCAAAACGCGTGTACAACGTGCCGGCGCCGGTCTTCTGGCCCACAGTGCTTCGATTACTCACCATGCAGGCCAGGCTCCAGATGTCCGCCGAGGTGCCGTACTTGGCGCCGAGGATGACCTCGGGGCACCGGTACTGCCGAGTCTGGATCTCGTCGGTGAACGTGTGGAACTGCGGGACAGCGGACACAGTGGTTAGGTTAGGTCAAGGCCGGGCAAAGGCAACCAAGGCGCGGCACTCACGGTCCAGCAGGCGTTGCCCAGGTCGGCGATCTTGATGTCGAACTCGACGAAGTCAGTCTTGGCGGGGTCGCAGTCCGGCGAGCTGTCGTCCCCGGAGCCCGGGCCACCCGGCGCGGGCGGCAGGTGCGAGGGGAGGGGCGGGTCGGGGGCGGGGCAGGACGTGGCGCGGCGGGGGCTGCCCTCTGGAACCGAGAGGAACAGTCAGTGGTGCTAGGCGGCACGGAACACGGAGACGGACCCTACCCGACGACGGCCACCCCAACTCACCGACGGCGGCGTCGTCCTCCGGCCTGCTGCTGGCGAGGCTGGTGCCGCGGGCCGTCCTGGGCCGGTAGCACGCCGACGACGACAGCAGGGCTACGGCCGGAGGCTCCCAGTCGTCCCACTCGTTCTCGGTGCGCACCGACGCCAGCGGCATCTCGTCGAAGCTGTGGTGCTTGTCGCTCTCTGCGGCACACGGTGACCCGTTACGGACGAACAGAGCGACACCATCGTCACACAGTGGATTTGCCAGACGACCGGTGGAGGCGGCAAAATTCTACACGCGTTTTGAGCTCCAGAGTCGCTAAATGGGACGCGAACTGAACGTGTGACCCCACCAATGGATTCCTCGGTTGGAGAGCAACCCATTGGTGAGGTCACCCGTTCAGTTCGAGTCCCATTTAGCGACTCTGGAGCTCGAAACGCGTTCAGAGTTTTCGAGGTATGAGAAGGAACACTTACGGAACTCCGTGCTCGGCTTCTGCCGGGACGAGTGCGCGCCGCTGCCGCCGTTGGCGTTGCCGTTGCCGTTCTGCCGCTCCCTGGACTTGGACAGCGGCGGCGCCACCCCCCTGGGCCCGCCCCTGGCGAGGGACGACTCCCCCGCCTCGTGCGTGTGCCTGCGGTGCTTGGTGTGCGTGCGTTGCGTCGCCGTGGCGGGCCCCGTCGCCGCGCCGGACTCCGACTTGCGCTTGCCGCCGCTGCTGCTGCTGGACTTGCCCTCGGGCGCGGGCAGCTTGGCGGGCATGTTGGCCACTGCAACAGGGCGGCGCAGGGCGGCCAACGTGACAGACGGAAACAAGGACAACATGCCACATTAACGGGTACCCCAAAGTGGGCCAGAAGACCGGTGGAGGCGGCCAAAACTCTAGACGCTCTAGACTCGAATCGAGCGTGTGACCCCACCAATGGATTCCTCATTCGGAGAGCAATCCATTGGTGGGGTCACACGTTCGGTTCGAGTCCCTTTAGCGACTCTAGAGCTCAAAACGCGTTCGGGACTTTGACCGCCTTACCCATGGACCTGGGCATGGCGCCGCCCTGGCGACTGCGGTCGTGCCACTGCATGGCGTCCAGCGCCAGCTTGCGGTGGTACTCCGGCGACGCGACCAGTACGATGTTCTCCGGCTTGATGTCGGTGTGGATGATGTGGCACTTGGTGTGCAGGTAGTCCAGTCCCTCCAGCACCTGCGCAGCGAGAAAAGTTTTACTTCCTCGATCAGTAGTCGAACAAGACCACGTTGAGACAAAAAGTAGTTTCAAAGTGGAGGGCGGCCGCAAACAGTTGGCCAGAAGACCGGTGGAGGCGGTCAAAATCTCGACTGCGTTTTTAGCTTCAGAGCTCGAAACGTGTCTAGAGTTTTGTCCGCCTCCACCGGTCTTCTGGCCCACTGTGCCGCACCTGCTTGATGATGCGCTTGACGTTGTGGAGGGGCAGCCCGCTGAAGTGCGTGCGGTTGATGAGCCTCAGCAGGTTGCAGCCCAGCATTTCCATCACCATGCAGATGTGCATGCCGTAGATGCCCTCGACGCGGAAGTCGTCGAGCAGCAGCACCACGCGCCGCCGGCCTGGGTCCGTGGGGTCGGCGTTGCGCACCTGGACCAGCAGCCCAGGGTTAGCACAGTGGCCCGGACGCGTGCAGAGCTCCAGAGTCGCTAAATGGGGCTCGAACCCAACGTGTGACCCCACCAACGGATTGCTCTCCGAACGAGGAATCCATTGGTGGCGTCACACGTTCGGTTCGAGGCCTGTTTAGCGACTCTGGAGAATGGTTGTAACGCTCACCCGCTTGAGGAGCCGGATCTCGTCCAGGGCGGTGTCAGTGTAGTGGTGGGCACTCTTGACGACCTTGAGGGCCGCGAAGCGCTTCACCCTGACGAGGTGGAAAACGAGGCGTGAGTAAGCACTCGGCTAGTTTTAGCGGTGGACGCGTTTTCGCGAGGCCACTGTGTTGACTTACGCCTTGTCCCTGCAGAGCCACACCGTGCTGAAGTGGCCCCAGCCCACCTTGCAGTACACCTGGTAGCGGCCGTGGAACAGGTCGTTGATTCGCACGGGGTGGTAGCCGCCTGCAGGCAAATCAATGTCGGCACGTGTGAAGGCCTCGAACGACTCACAGGCACGCGGAGCAGACGGCGCGCAGTGGGCCAGAAGACCGGTGGAGGTGGCCGAATTTTCAGACCCGTTTTGAGCTCCAGAGTCGCTAAATGGCCCTCGAACGGAACGAGTGACCCCACCAATGGATTGCTCTCCGAACGAGGAATCCATTGATGGGGTCACGCACGCTCGGTCCGAGGGCCATTTAGCGACTCTGGAGCTCAAAACGGGTCTGGAGTTTCGGCCGCCTCCACCGGTCTTCTGGCTGGACGGTTTTTGCTTTACCGGTGCAGTAGTCGGAGGGGCTCTCCTGCTCCTCCCTGTCCTCGGGCAGCAGAGGCTCGTTGTCCGTGGCCTCCTCCAAGTCCTCCGACTCCCTCCTGCCGCCCTCCGAACGCACCTCGGACCTGCCAACCACACAACGCACACTCCTGTCAAAACGGTCGCCACTGCGGGGAGAGGAACAAAGATAAAAACAACGACTCAAGCTAAGCTAGAAGAGATCTCTACAACCTTTGAAAGAAGAAAGCAAAACACGTTAGGTAGCAGCGTCACAATCATTCACAAATCAAAACAACAGCATGTCGGAGCGGGGTTAGAATGCCGTGTGGTGTGGAGAGCTGGACCAAAGTCGGGCTCACAGATCCATCTTGGTTCAGAGTCTCGGTGTCATCAAGTTCAACGGAAAGCAAAGAGAGCAGTCTTGCAGTGCAGACTCGGGCAGCATTGCCGCACTGCCACGCTCACGCTCATGCTAAGCGGACAGGCGGCGCGCAGAGCGTCAGAGCGCGGCCTCGTCACGCTCACACCATGCGTGTCACGCTGTGTCACGCTCACGCCCATTCATGCTCGCACTCACACCGTACTCGCCAGGCCGCGAGCGCGGGGGCGGCCGATTTGACCTTCCTGCGCTTGTGCAGGCGGGGCGGCGGCCGGGGCGGCGGCCGGGGCGGCCGGTGGGGCGAGCCGGCCGAGCCTTGGGGTGGGTCAGGCTGGGGGAAGAGCGGGCGCGGCGGCCGGGGCGGCGCGGCCGCGGGGGTCGGCCCCCTAGGCCCAGGCGCGGGGGCGGTGGGGGCGGTGGGGGCGGCGAGGGGGGCAGGCCGCCCCCACTCCCGCAGGAGTTCATCTCTCCGGAATCGCAGCCGGTCGCGATCCCACCGCAACACGCCGATCCAGGCCAGGAGGGCGACCCAGGCCACCAACTGCAGCCCCACCGCCCACCACGAGGCCCACCGCGACGCGGTGCTGGCGGCCTCCAGCGGCTCCAGCGGCGGCCCGAGCGGCGGCCCCAGCACCAGGCACGCCCAGGACCACGCGGCCGCCAGCGCGCCGGACTCCACCACGCCCTCCAGGACGCCGTCGACGCAGCGCACCAGCATGGCGTTGAGCTCGGCGACGACGGGCGCGCCCAGGGCCAGCACGTCGGGCACCAGGTCCTGCACCACGTCCTGCACCACCGCCAGGTCCATGGCGGTCTCGTTGTGCTGGGGCACGGCGTCGGCGGGCAGCGGTGTCGACGCGGTCGGCGCGGCCGGCGCCCAGCACATGGCCGGCTCAGCGTGGGCTCCCCGTCGAAGCCACTGCTGCCACTGCAGGACCCCGGGGCCGAGGCCGCCGGGGCTGCCAGCACTGGCGGGGCCCCACGGAGGCACGGCCATCGCCCGGCCGGGCTGGCAGGGCTGCCAGTCACGGCATGGTCAACGTCCTGAAATAAACACTTCTTGCTTTGGGACTGTCCTTTAACCACCAGACCAGCGAGAAAACGCCATTTCCGTCGTCGAGCGGTCCCCAAGCCTTCTCGGCCGGGCGTCGACGGCGTCAAACTTGTGGCAAAGGCGTCCGACGGCCTTGGCGGCCTTGGACAACGCCCTTTCGTGTCAACGGCCCAACGGGGCGCTCTGTTCCTACCTCGCCTTGCTTTTGCCTGCGCCTGTACACTCCACACAATCCACCGGGCGCACAGTGGGCTGGCCACCGATTGGGCGGTGCAGCGGGGGCGCTGACTTCAGCCAGTCACTCCAAGGAGGCCGTGGTGGCGGCAGGGTTGAGTGCCCCGCCCCGCCCCGCCCCGCCCCACCTCACCCGTCGATAACAACCCTATCGGCTTGTGCGGAAATGGCCTTCCCCTGTCTCTGCCCGACCTAATGGTGTTCGGGACGGACGGCCCGCAAAGGCCGCAAAGGTCGGCGAGAAGGCCGAACAAAAGGCAGGCGCCGGTACTCGAACCCGCGACCGCGCCGCCTCCACCGGTCTTCTGGCCCACTGTGGCGCGTCAGCGGTACAGTCACCCCGAATACCGCGAAAGCAATGCACCTGCGGGCCGCCTGTGAAAACAGTATGGACCGGTGGCAGTTTATTTGTGTCCTGTTGGCGGCATTTCAGCGCTGCCGTGTCCGCGTCGTGTGTGAGTGTGTGTGTGTGTGTGTGTGTGTGTGTGTGTGTGTGTGTGTGTGTGTGTGAGAGAGAGAGTCGGTGTGTGCGTGTGTGAGTTTGCCGGTTTAGCACAGTGAGTTGGCAGTAGTTGGAACAAGAGCAACCTTCAAATCATATACCACAGCTGCTTTGCACACTCGTACGAATAATGCTGCCAACTTTTGCTGCTGCGGAGTTCCGCCTGCATTCGGCTCTTTTTTAGCTTCGTCGCAGAGAAAGTTTTGCGTGATTGCCGTCTCACTGGTCCCAGCGGTCCCATGTTCGGTTGTTACTACGAGAGCCAACAGGTATTCATATTTCAGTAGTCTTCTGAATCACGGAAGTCTTAAGCAGACCAACATCGATAAGTGAAACCGAAAACTTGGAGCTGTCGGTGAGAGACAGCGGGGCGCGCTAGGCCATCGAGGCCGAGGCCGAGTAGGCGAGGTGGGGCGGGGTGGGGCGGGGTGGGGCGGGGCGGGGCGGGGCAGACTAGTACACGGCCCACCTGGCCGTCTGGACACGAGCCCCTCGGCGCACAGTGGGCCAGAAGACCGGTGGGGGTGGCCAAAATTCTGGACGCGTTTTGAGCTCCAGAGTCACTAAATAGGATCCGAACCGAACGTGCGACCCCACCAATGGATTGCTCTCCGAACGAGGAGTCCATTGGTGGGGTCACACGTTCGGTTCGAGTCCTATTTAGCGACTCTGGAGCTCAAAACGCGTGTGGGATTCTGACCGCCTGCACCGGTCTTCTGGCCCACTGTGCGCCGGAGCCAGTCTCCTCAAACGGATTCAAACTCCCCGTTCGATGTAACTTCCTTCCGGCGTTCCGGGGCTGTGCCGCCGTGCCACGCCGCGGCGAGTTATTAGGTTTGGCGGAGACTGCGATCCAAACAGAGCCCCGGCTGCCCGACCGGCCCACAGTGGGCCAGAAGACCGGTGCAGGCGGACAAAACTCTAGACACGTTTTGAGCTCCAGAGTCGCTAAACAGGACTTTGAAGCAAACGTGTGTGACCCCACCAATGGATTCCTCGTGCGGAGAGCAATCCATTGGTGGGGTAACACGTTCGGTTCGAGTCCCATTTAGCGACCCTGGAGCTCAAAACGCGTCAAGAGTTTTGGCCGCCTTTACCGGTCTTCTGGCCCACTGTGCGGCCGGTCGGGGAGGGCTCGAGCGTCATCGACGCCGAGCGCGCTTGCCGAGCGAGAGAGACGGAGCGATCGGCGCTCGCGCCGACGCTGCCCGGCGCGTGGCGAGGTGTAAAATTAGCCCGCGGGAAAGCGGGAAGGAAGGAAAGCGCTTTCCCGCGGGAATAATGCGAGCTGATAAAGGGAGCGCGGGAATCTCGGCATCCCTAACGATTCCCAAGCTTTCCGGCTTCATTTCGTTATCAGTTATCACTCTCGCTGTTCCTAACACTCCGGACACTGGACGAGAGCAAAACACCCCCTCCCCCCCAAAAAAACCGCCTTAGTTGGCATAATTTTGCGACAGCTGACCTTGTAAATATAGTCCAAGTTCGAGACTTTCTTCAGCATTACTTATCAATCAATAATTTTTAAGCGATCAATTTCACAAAGGCAGAGAAAATTGGCTGAGCATATTGAAAATGGTTCATTTGGGATGTTGAGTACAGACAGGGAGACAGCCTGACTCAGTCTTTAACGCTTTTAGAAGTTCGGTCCTAAATCAACTCGATTTTTCAATGACTGTTGAGACTGGTGTCAACAACGGCCAACCTGCTCCGGCGCCGACGGAACCATTGCCACAAGTTCGATGCCTACGACCCAGCGGCCGGGAACTTCAAAATATCCTCCACGATTATCGGAACGCGGAACGCGTGAAATCGAATGAACCACAGGTGTACCTCAGCGCCGGGCGGACCGACGAGGCCCGCGCATCTCGCGGTCCAGCGAGTCCTCCGGCACACCGGAAACCGGAAAGGAAAGTCGAAAACCGGAAACGGAACCGAATGGCGCCAAAGGGCGACGCGGCGACACGACGGCGAGGGCCTCGAGCACCGCGACGACACTGGTGTCTGGCGGCGCGCTGCGCCGTGGGACCGCCAGGGGACCGCCTCGCGCGACTGCCCAGTGCCCCACCTGCAGCAGCCTGGCTGGCGGGCTGGCACACTGGCACGCACTGGCTGTCGGCGTCCTCGTCGCACGCGCACGCCGCCCGCCAGTGCGAGAGGGATGGCGCGACGCGGTGCGACGCGGGGCCCGACGGCACACTGTGCGGCCGGCAGGCGAGACGGACAGGCCGCCGGCAGATGGGGCACGGCGCCAACTAGGACCCGCCTAGTCCGCGCGAGGCCCCGCCAGCCCCACCGGACCACAGTGGGCCAGAAGACCGGTGGAGGCGGCCAAACCGTAGACGCGTTTTGAGCTCCAGAGTCACTAAGTCGGACTCGAAACGAACGTGTGACCCCACCAATGGATTGCTCTCCGAACGAGAGGGTGGGGTCACACTGGGTCACACGTTAAGTTTGCTCGACCCCACCCCGGCTGGGTCTACAGAGACACGGAGGCGGCAGCGCAACCCTCCACGATGCCATGCAGAGATTTGTGTTTGAAAGATGTAAAAAAGAGAGAGGAAAAAAATTGCAAATCGTGCAGGCGTATACAGAGAGTTGGAAACGGTGCAAGAAGAAGGAGGAGAAGAAATCGTGTCGGATAAGAAAAATCGGTGGCAGGCAATGTCAGGCAAAAGTCGGGTACAGAACGAGAGTCTCGAACGAGAGTCTCGAAACGTGGCGGCCGCTGCAAAATGCGCTACGGCTGGAAAGCTAGGCGGTCGTGCTACGGCCATTCTAGTCCGCTAACGGAACAGTCTCTGGCCGCCTCTGGCTCTTCTCGCGTCAGCCGTTAGCTGGCCGGCCAGGCGGACGATTCGTCTTCCTTTCTCTTCGTTGCCGTTTTCGCAGTGGCGCAGCCTTTGTTTTGGCGGGAAGGCAGGGTGACAGCGCTGGCAGCCTCGGCACCACGACCACCATGGGCACCATGGGGATCGGTACTCACGACTTTGGCTGGCGATGCCGCTGCTGGGACGATTGGTGGTGGTGCTGGAGGTGGTGGTGGTGATGGTGGTGGTGGTGATGCTGATGGTGGTGAGGCTTGGTGTCATGGTCCACCTCATCAGACCTGTGGCACATACAGGGGGTTACAGGGGGTCTACCATGGGGCGCTACGGGGCAGGCGGTGATCCCGCGGATGATGACGTCATGCCGACTAGTTGCGCTGCTGCACTTGCAACCGGAGGGGGGGGGGGGGGGGGGTCGTCTTGTGAGCGGGCCGGGCCGGGCAGGGCCGGGCAGGGGAAGGGTGCCCGCCAAGGGCTTCAGCGTCGCTAACGCGCTAACTCAAGCCACCCAAGTCCGAGTTCGCTGCTTGCAGCAGATACCATCGCTTTAGCGCATTCTCGTTTTCCGCCACTTGGCCGCATGGTTGCCCTCGAGTCACTCTCCACGACGGCGTGCTGGCAAGCCCAAGCCGGCCGGGGTCCTCGCCGGGGTCCTCGCCGGGGTCCTCGCCGGGGTCGCAGAGGCCGGCCTACTCCACGGCCTACTCGTGCAACTTGTCGCATCAGCTGTGTGTCCTGGGCTGGAGAGCACTCGGAGGGCACCCTGGCGGGGGAAGGGGGGGGGCGAGGGCTTTAGCCGAGCCGCCTCGTATCGACCAGCCGGCACGGCCGGGGCAGGGCGGGGCGGGGCGGGGTGGAACAGTGGCGTAGCAGCCCACCGCCCGGCTCGCCATTTAACGCGAGCACGAGTTTGGCGACGCAAGTGGGCCAGAAGACCGGTGGAGGCAGCCAAAACTCTAGACGCGTTTTGAGCTCCAGAGCCGATAAATGGGCCTCGAACCGAACGTGTGACCCCACCAATGAATTGCTCTCCGAACGAGGAATCCATTGGTGGGGTCACACATTCGATTCAAGTCCCATTTAGCGACTCTGGAGCTCAAAACGCGTCTAGAGTTTTGGCCGCTTCACCGGTCCTCTGGCCCACTGTGCGACGGTCCCCGCAGACGCAGACACTCGCAGCAACGACTAGCGAGGGACCGTCCGTAAGCCAGCAATCCCGCAGACCCCTTCCCTCCCCCGAGCACCGCGTTAGGTCAGGCCCGCGAGAGTGTGCTGGTCCAGTTACCTCGCCTGGAGTCGGGAGCAGCGGGGCCTTGGCAAATCTGCAGAGGCATGCGAAGTAGCAGACTCATTTCCGTACCTCTCTCTCTCTCTCTCTCTCTCTCTCTCTCTCTCTCTCTCTCTCTCTCTCTCTCTCTCTCTCTCTCTCTCTCTCTCTCGCACCGATGCGGGTCGCTACGTGAGTGAGAGAGAAAGTGGGAGGGGGAGAGGGAGAGAGATGGGACACGCTGCAGCAAGAGGGCCGGAAGTACCACGGGGCAGGGCGCTGGGGAGCAAGACCAGGGCGGCGAGTGCGGCAGTACAGGCCGTTCCGAAACCACGTGACGAGGCCACCCCTCCTTGGCGACGTACTTCCACACGCCGCCGAGGAGCGGAGCACCGCGACTAAAACTGTCCTTGAAATTGGTGGCGTAATTTAGCGTCCCTTCGAGGAAATTGAGTCGCCAACTTTCCGGCGGGCGGGAGTGGCTTTGGTAAGGCGAGCCGCGGCACAGTGGGCCAGAAGACCGGTGGAGTCGGTCAGAATCCCAGACACGTTTTGAGATGCAGAGTCGCTAAACAGGACTCGAAGCGAACGTGTGACCCCACCAATGGATTGCTCTCCGAACGAGGAATTCATTGGTGGGGTCACACGTCCGGTTCGAGTCCCATTTAGCGACTCTGGAGCTCGAAACGCGTCTAGAGTTTTGACCGCCCCCACCGGTCTTCTGGCCCACTGTGCGCGGGGGTCGCGAGGGCGGCGCGCCTACACGGGGAAATGTGGAACGGAAAGTACGGGCCGCGACAAAGTGCACCGTTTGGAACGGCCGAGACCGATGACGGATTACGAATTACGGTCAGGGCCGAGTCAGGGCGCTCAGGGCCGTGGCCGTTTTCGTCCGTTCTCCTTTGTGCTCTCTTTCTTTTCCGCCCTGTTTGCGCGCCACACTTAACGACCCCGCCGCCCTGCAGGGCCCCGCACCGCCAACCAGTACGCCAGTACTACGCAATGCAGGCGAATTAGCCCCACACACCCGCCATGCTTGCGGCCTTTGCTGCTCGATTGAGTGGGAATTCGAGGAATCCAAGCAGCCAAGACGCGTTGCCGCACGCTCCGAGCCTCCACGCTCCGACCCTCGAAAAACCGCCCCGCAGGGCCACTTACAAAAAGTTGGCACGTGTGTGACGCGTGCACACGATGACGTCACGGTGACGTCAGAGGCCGGCCGGCTCCGGGTCGATCTCAGCCAATCGAATGCGTCACCGGACGGACTACAACGCGTCTCGCGTGCGACCAGGCCGCCCGTCCCAGTGTGGCCACACTCACGCGATGCACCAGTCTCGGCAGGGCTGCCCACCAGTGACATCCAAGGAGTTGCCTAGTAGGCAGGCTGAGGTTGGCAACCCCGCCACAGTGGGCTAGAGGACCGGTGGAGGCGGACAAAACTCTTTTGAGCAGCAGAGTCGCCAAACAGGCCACGAACCGAACACGTGACCCCACCAATGGATTCAATGTTTGGAAAGCAATCCATTGGTGGGGTCACACGTTCGGTTCGAGTCCCATTCAGCAACTCTGGAGCTCAAAACGCGTCTAGAGTTTTGTCCGCCTCCACCGGTCTTCTGGCCCACTGTGTGCGCGACACTGGTGCATCGAGGGGCTTTCCACCCGTTTGTGTGGCAGTGCTGACCGCCGCTGCGCCATTCGAGTCACTGGAGAGCGCTGGAGCGCTAAACGAGCGACACGTGGCCGCGTGGCCAGGGCCAGCAACGCCAGCAATAGCACGGCGTAGCACGGGCAACGCGCTAGCGCCGTCTAGCGCCGTCTAGCGCCGGGCAGGCAGGCAACCCACCGCACCAGCTTACACGCGCGCTGCCGCGTGGCCTAGCTGCCGGGCGGCAGAGCCCCTCCCCCTCCCACAGTGGGCCAGAAGACCGGTGGAGGCGGCCAAAACTCTAGACGCGTTTTGAGCTCGAGAATCACTAAACAGGACTCGAACCGAACGTGTGACCCCACCAATGGATTCCTCGTTCGGAGAGCAATCCATTGGTGGGGTCACACGTTCGGTTCGAGTCCCATTTAGCGACTCTGGAGCTCAAAACGCGTCTAGGGTTTTGGCCGCCTCCGCCGGTCTTCTGGCTCACTGTGCCTCCCCACCCTTCCTGTACCGCCTCTCTCCCTCTCCCTCGCACGCGCGGCGGGGCACGTGGAGGTGCATCCGCGCGGGCAGCGGAGCGGGTAGGGCAGCTCGCTCGATCCCGTCTCGAGATTTGAGGAGGGGAGGGGAGGGGGAAGGCAGGGCGAGGCGGGGTGGCCCCGGGCCGCCCCGGGCAGATGCGGGAAGCTGGCGTGCCTGTTGATGCGCGATGCGCAAACCTGCCGTCAAATGGGGCATTGCGTGAGGCGGCCCCGGCCGACTCCAAGCAAGCACTGTCAAAGGTTCAACAATCCTCTTTCCTTCCTCTCGGTCGGTTCAAACTGCACGGCCTCTTTTCGCTTGCGGCAAAACACAACTTTCACTCCTCGAACGGCTTGTGTGAAACCAGAAGCCCACAAAACGGGCGGCAAGCACTCAACGAGCCACTTTTAGTTTCGACCCCGACTGTTACTTCTCTGGAAAAGGGGCAAGGACGCGTCTGGCGACGGCCCCCGCCCCGCCGGCCCCGCCACCCTGCGCCAGGTGCCAGCATGTAGCGTGCCGAGCGGAGCCCGGCACTTGGCCTGGCCTTGTTAAGGGCTGCCTTGGCCAGCCCTTCTCCGCGGGCACTCCAACACGGACTCGGGCACATTCCGTCTCACTTTGGCTTCAACAGCTGCAAAACACCACATGCTGGAGTCTACGTCGACGGCAAACCAACGCCAGTTCTCGGCTCCGGCATGCTGAGCAAACTACTTCACGCATCCACGCTACGGCCGTCCGCGAACCACGCACTACGTTGCACAGTGCGCCAGAATACCGGTGGAGGCGGCCAAGCGGCCAGCGTGTGACCCCACCAATGGATTGCTCTTCGGACGAGGAATCCATTGGTGGGGTCACGTCACACGTTCGGTTCGAGTCCCGTTTAGCGACTCTGGAGCTCAAAACTCGTCTAGAGTTTTGGCCGCCTCCACCGGTCTTCGGGCCATTGTGCGTCGGGGTCCTGGGGCACGAGGACCGCGTGGATGCGGACGGCCTTCTAGGCCACGCCGGGGCTTGACTCACCCGCTGGGGTGCAGCGCCGGCATCTTCCTGCGCCTCCTCGGCGGCGACAGCGACAGCGACAGGGCTTGGTGGTTCGCGTTGTTGGAGGCCGCCGACGGCGCCCCCTTGGCGGCCTTGGGCATGTCCAGCTCGGTGACGTACTCCTGCCGCCGCCCGAGCACGCCGTCGAACGATTTGACCGCCATGGGCGGGCCCCGCAGGCCGCGCGTGCCCCGGTACCCGGAGTCGCCGACGGCGGGCGGCCCGGGGGACACCCCACCGAGCTGCGCGCGCCTGTAGTCACTCTGGCGCCGGTCCCGTTCACTCTCCACGTGGTAGTCACTCTGACGGCGGTCTCTGTCGTTCTCCACAAGATAGTCACTCTGGCGGCGGTCTCTCTCGCTTTCCACCAAGTAGTCACTCTGGCGACGGTCTCTCTCGCTCTCCACCAAGTAGTCACTCTGGCGACGGTCTCTCTCGCTCTCCACCAAGTAGTCACTCTTGCGACGGTCTCGCTCACTCTCCACAAGGTAGTCACTCTGCCGACGGTCTCTCTCACTCTCCACAAGGTAGTCACTCTGGCGTCGGTCCCTGCGCTCTCGCTCGCTCTCGATGTGGTAGTCGGTGACTGGATCCCCCATGGTGCCTAGGTACTCCTTGTGCACGGGGACGTAGCCAGGCGACGGGTCGCTGTCCCTGACTGTCGTCGGCGGCTTGGGCAGGGGACTGCGGCTGTAGCCTCGCGCCGGCGCCCTGGGCGAGGGTCCCCGCTGGCCTCGCGGCGACGGCCCCCTCGACGGCGGCCCTCTGGGTGACGTGGCCGACGTCGCGGACGAGTACGAGGGGCCTTGGTACGCCCACTCGTCCAGGTAGTGGCGGTCCTTGTACACGTAGGGCGAGGCGCCGCGGCGCTTGTCCTTGGGGCTGGGCACGTACTCCTCGTCGTCGTCCTCGCCGGCCTCCTCGACGAACACCTCCGGGATGGGCATGGTGGTCGACGCCACGGTCGGCGCGTCGCTCTCCTCGTCGTCGGCCAGGCCCTCCGTGTCGCTGGCGGCGGCCTGCTGCGTGGCGGGGAGGTCCCCGGGCCGCATGTACATGTCCGCGGCGTTGACGGGCAGGTTGGAGAAGAAGTAGTTGACGTTGGGCTCGTGTTCCCAGGAGCCGGTCAGCTTCTTGGGGGAGGCTGGGGTGCTGCGGGGGCCGGGGCCGATGGGGGGCCGTGAGTCGGAGCGGTTGGCGCGGTACCAGGCGGCGCGCGTGCTGCCCGTGGTCGACATGGCGGCAGGCTCGTAGCGACGGCCGGCGGCGTAGCCGGGCGACCTGGGAGGCGGCGCGTCCTCGTGCGGCCGCAAGTAGCCGCCGCCGGCCGCGGCCTCCTCGCTGGACGAGTCGAAGGTGTGGCGGCGGTAGAAGACGGCGTCCTGGTGCGCCGCGGGCCTGGGGCTGCGCCAGCGCGAGCGGTAGGGCGCGGGGTCCAGGCGCAGGGCCTCCACCGCCGCCTCCAGGCCGGGGTCCAGCGACGGCCGGCGGTAGAGGGACGGCTCGGCGGGCAGGCGGCGCTGCGGCGGCGCGGCGTGGTAGGCGGCCACCTCGTCGACCACGGACATGGCGGCGTCGCGGCGCACCACGCCGTCGGCGCTCACGTTCTGGCGGAGGTACGCCGCCGAGCGCAGCGCCGACGACTCGCCGCCGTCCGCGCGCCCGCGGCGGGACACGTCCAGGTCGCGGCCGTCGCGGCCCAGCTCGGCGTCCGAGAAGAGGCGCGAGTGGCGTGGCGAGTTGCTGAGCCTGCGGACGAACGGCGTCAGGAACGGAACCAACAAACAACAACAACAAAGGCCCCGGCGGGCGGCTACCTGCGCACGCTGGAGGTGTCGCTGTGGCCGTCGCTGAGGCCGTCGGCCACGCCACGCTGCGGCGGCATGCCGCGCTGGTGGCCACCGTAGCCATCCTCGTCGTACTCGTAGCCGGCGGCCGCGGAGCGGATCTCGTTGACGTCCTCGGAGAAGCCGCGGCGGTACATGCCGGGCGGCTGCAGGGAGTTGGGGTCGGGCACGGCGCCGGGGTAGCTGTGCTGCCGGCCAGCGGCGTAGCTACGACGGCTCGACCCGTAGGCGTGCTGCCCGGCGTGGTGCAGGTGGTAGCCCTCGTCCGTCGCCGCCATGTCCGAGTCCTCCTCCGGGTACGAGGACGTCAGGTAGGGGTCCTCGGGCAGCGCGTCGTCCTCGGCCTCCGCGTCCGCGGCCAGGACGCCGCCGTCGTCCGCGTAGCCCAGGTAGCCGTCGGACTCCTCATAGCCGCCGGAGGGGTACGGCCGCTGCGGACAACAAGGCAACGCGTCACAAAAGCAACGACAAAGAAATTGATCCGGGCAGCGATGACACTTTTCACTGCAAGCGCAAAACGCTCAAGGCTTTCTGTTTGCAATCATGAAGACAACATACGTACACAGCATTGCAGCACAACCAGGCTCAGAAACACAAACAAAAAGCAGACAAAAAATTAAAAGAAATAAAATAAAATGAATTACTGAGCAGCCATAACTTGTCAAATGAATTGCAAAACCAAAATTTAATTCAAAAACAATAATTAAAAACAACGAAAAAGGGCTCACATTGCGCAAAGGCTTACGAAAAAAAAAGAGGCAAGATTTAAGTTCCTGAAATCCCGATCACTTACGAAAGGACCATATCCAGCGAGGAACGGTAAATAAAAGAAAGGATAGGAAGAGGAAGAAGAGAGAAACTGAAAACAGAGGCAAGAACAGGGAAAGTAGGAGAGAGAGAGGCGAGACAGACAAAAATCCACCCTCAAAAGTATCGCTTCTCACAGGTGTTCAAGACAGTCAGCTTAATGTGACTATTTCCGAGAACCCTCCAGCAAGAATCGAAATTTAAGAGGACGGCAGAGCGAGACAGAAGAGGATAAAGGCTAGGTGAAGGAAGGATGAGAAAGTGAAAGTGTGCAGTAAAACGGGTAGTGGTGCAATCGGCGACAGAGAGTGTTCGCTGAGCCCGTTGAGAAGGTGGAGACTCACTTCCCCGCCGTAGACGGGCCGGTCCGCCCTGCGCAGGCGGGGGTCGGCCAGCACCCTGGGGTCGCGGGCGTCGCGGGCCTGCGCGTCGCGCCCGCGCGCCCACTCGCCGTAGTCCGCGGCGTGCACCAGGAGGTCGGGGGGCGGCTGGTGGCGCGGGGGCGGCCGGGGGAAGTCCGCCGAGGGCGGCGAGGCGGCGGGCGACGAGGGGCTGGCGCTGGGGCTGCCGGGGTTGCTGCTCGAGCAGTCCGCCTGGTAGTCCGTGAGGTTGTCCAGCCGCCGCCGCCCGTCCGCGCCCACGTGCTCCAGGCCGTGCTCGGCGCCGCCGGAGTCCGAGTCAGGCGAGGAGCCGAGGCGGGGGCTGCGGGGGCCTGGGACGGCGGGGCCCATGGGCCCCATGGGCACGCTGGGGGCGTAGTCCATGGCGTGCGCCGAGGCCGGCAAGGCCGGCAGGGGCTGCGCGTGGTGGTCTCGGGGCGCGGGCCCGGGGGCGTAGCCTCATCTATACGCGCCCACCGCCGGGCCCCGCGCCGGCCCCGCCGCCCCGCCCCCGCCCGCCGCCCCCGCCGCCCCCGCGGGCACGGCGCTGGGGAGGCCGGGCCGGGTCACCATGCCGCCTGCAACAGGTAGAGGGAGACTTGCAGTCTATCGGTACCAACAGCAACAACAATGAGGCCAATAGTTCATGAACCACGGTAGTCACGGACCAGGTTTCAGGGCATGCACAGGCCGTGCCTCTGAGCGGACTGACTTCCCTCACCAGTACCGGCACCCGAGAAAATGAAACATTCACCAATCACCCCCGTTTCGAAACGGTAACAAACCTAGACTTTTCTTTTCCCGGTAAGTTCTGATCCGGCCGCGGCCGATGCGATTCCGGTCTCACTGCCTTTTCCTCGTACCGCGGGGGTAATGAAAGGCCTGGCACGACCGGACCAAAACAACGGCATCCATTCCACTCGCATTTCCATGCCACCACCACAAATCACCTGGTTCACCTCAGGAAGAGGGGGGGGGGATTCGGGTTCGGACCACGCCCCGCCTGCCCTGCGCTGGGTGATTGGCTGGGCCGGGAAGGGGTGTGGAGCATTGACAGCAACAGCGAAGCCGCAGGACGACTCTCTCTCTCTCTCTCTCTCGCACTCATGGGGCGTCCCGTTAGAGTGCGAGAGAGAGAGAGCAACAAATGCGCCGCCTCATAAAAAAATATGAAAAGCGCTTTGTATCGCGAGAACGCGAAGCTCGCCGGGCATTCACCGGCGTCGAATAACACCACACAAAGAGGGAACTACCACCGCCCCCTCTAACAGGCTCAACACAATCAATCACCCCCTTCTCTCTCTCTCTCTCTCTCTCTCTCTCTCTCTCTCTCTCTCCTCGTCCTCTCCGCGGCGCTATACCCTCGCGGGGAGCCTGGATAAACATTTGCCGGTGAATGGCGTGGCCCGCGTTACCGGGTTTGCAGAGGCTGCTGCCTTGCCGACACGCCGCGCTGCCGGCCCCGTTCGGCGCATTGCATGTATCGATTCACGGCTCTGACCAGGCAAGACAGCAAAGATAAAGGGCGGAGAGGGAGAGAGAGAGAGAGAGAGAGAGAGAGAGAGAGAGAGAGAGAGAGAGAGAGAGAGAGAGAGAGAGAGAGAGAGAGAGAGAGAGACGGACAGACAGACAGACACACAGACAGACAGAGACAGACAGAAAGACAGAAAGAGAGGGAGAGAGAGACAGAGAGGGAGAGCAGGGACACTGGTCGAGAGAGACGCACTGAGAGGCAGGGTGAGAGGGCGAGAGAGCGAGAGGGAGGGTGGCAAGTGTGCGGAACCGTCCCTCGCCGGGCCACGCGGCTACGCCGCTACGCCGGGCCGGGGGCCGGGCTAGGCCAGCAGGTCAGTGCTGGCGCATGCTGGCGGTGGCGGTGCTGGAGATGGGGGTCTTGGTGGGGGTGCGGTACGCGGTACGCGCAGGGCACGGGTCAGGGTGGGGGAAAGGGGGCACGGGGCACGGCGAGGTGAAAAGCTGACACCCCGCCGGGAATCGAACCCGGGGCCGCCCCGCGCGAGGGGTTACAGACCAGAGTGCGAAGCGCGATGCGAATTGACAGGACAGTCTCATATCTCTCTCTCTCTCTCTCTCTCACGTCGCGTGGGCGTGCGAGAGAGAGAGAGGCGCTTTGTTGTTGTCAACCGCGCGAACGAGGTCGTGGACGAGCACGCCGACGGCGAGGTGCCGGTGGCCGCGGGGAGGACTTACGGCAGTGGCTGCTCGTGTGGCGGCGACGCGGTGGCGCTGAGCTGGGCCGGCCGGCCGCGCGGCCCTGGGCCTGGCGGCGCTAGGCGGCCGGGTGCAGGCGAAGCTGGTGGTGATGGTGGTGCTGGGCGGTAGCGCCTGGGCGTCCTGCCGACGGCCGAGGGCGCTGAGGGCGCTGCCTCCGCTCGCGTGCTAGCGCGGACTGCCCTGCCGCGCTGCCTCCGCCGCCCTCGCCCGGCCTGCCCTGCTCCGGGGCCTCCCCCTCCCCCTCCCCACCGCGCGCCGCGCCGCCTGGCGGCCACCCCGCCAACCACGCGCTGTTTGTCCCTGTCTCGCCTTACGGGCCTTACGCGTTGCGTTACGTGTCACGTGCGCGCGCACAATCTTTCTCGCACTCACACTCCCAGCCGCCCCGGAGAAGGCCCTGTGGGTGGCGTTGCGGGTCGTCCAAGGCAGCTGTAGGAGCGCCCGCAGACTCCCGGGTAGGCCACCCGCTCCACCAACATGTACACCGGATTGCCTACCCCGAAGTTCGCAGGCGTTCCACGGTCCAGTTCGACTGGTGGTTGGTCAATTGGTGTGAAATCAATTGGATTCGGAATCATGAGAACGATGTAAGTTAGGAATGATGAACAAGAAGACCGTTTTTTTCTGAGGTGTCTTTTATCTCCTGAGCTCAGTTTTGTTACAACTACTGTTTGAATCATGAGAGTACACAACAACAACATGAGTTTTTTTTTAGGTATCTACAGACAGTAATGGAATGTAAAACACAGTAACACTTACATAGATCAACTACAATTGGAAGACAATAGTTCAAACAATGCTTTACAATCATGTTTTATGTTAAAAAAGCTGTTTTTTTGAAAAGGGAGTGCTCTCTACGGTCGCCTCCAAGAATATGGCATGTACCACAGCCAGAGATGGCTTTGTATTATGTGCGACCTTAATGGCTTGCTCTGAAATGCAAGTAAGCTCTTTATACAATGAGACACAAACATGTCACTGCCCATTGAGGCCACACATAAATGTGGTTAAATCAAATCATGGAAAGGTACCAAGGCAGAGCAATAAAAATCTGGTTCATGAAATTCCTATCTTTGAACGCTTGTATCTGAGACAACTGATGAGCCCCTTTAAGAATAAAGCAAACTCTTAGGACTTTTTCATCAAATTATCTAGAAAAAACATCCAAATTGTTCTACATTTATCAGTCATGCAACTTAGTTCAGGGGTGTCAAAGCAGCTTTCTAATGTTCTAATAAAATTTAGACCTGTTAAAAAGGCTTACATAATATGTAATACTTTCTGGAAGACATGAAATCACTAAAGTTTCATCACAATCTATTTTCTCAAATTCACAGCAAGCAGTAGTGCTAATACTTAGAAAATTATTATTAAGATGAATAAACAAAAAAAAATTGAATACTTTTGAAAGTATTTTTTCTCTGAGTATCATTGGCATTTGAATGTCCCTTTGAGATAAAAAGTAACTTCAAATGGGATTTTAAAACTGGTTTATACAACAAAAATTTTGCCCCTCTAAGAGGAGTTATGACTTTAATTAATTGAAGTTTTACTATCCAAACAAGGTAGCAGGCTAGTTTTATTTTTTCAGACCATAGTAGAGGCCATACAAGTAATTGGAAGACAAAAGGACATCAGTGAGAAACACTTCTCCAATTGATCTTGGCTCCTCCTGAGAGGCCAGAAAACAGTAAGAGATTTGCTCTTAATGTTATGAAGAGACAGTGTCAAATGCAAATTATTATCTTTTTCTTCTTCTGAATATATCACTTTTAATTTGCTTCAGCCCATTGTACTGGCTCGCATGAAAAGAGGTCTTAGTAATAATGTTTCACTGTCGCAAGTGAACATGCCACCTTTCCACGCTTCATGTACAAGTGACTAGTAGCAACAATAAACTGATCCTCTTAATTATCTACAAGATACAGTCTGCTAATATAAACATGCCTAAAAAGGCTTCTAATGGAAGCTCCCGATTCTTCAATTCTCCTCTTTACACTTAGCAAATACACAAAGCATAAATATATGAAGATCTACGTTTCTCTAATATCAAGAATGTAAATGGAAGACATTGATTTTAATAAGAGCTGAAAAGTTATGGAGTCACTAGAATACTCCCATAGTAATTAAAATGATAAAGTCCCTCGTACACCCCGTACCATATTTTCTCCTAAGAATACAATAACATTTGTTGTCAAGACGAGTGTTTTCATGGCCCTTGCCAATTATAGCGATAATGCATGTGACTAAACAATTTCCGCCAAACCAAGAATCTGTCATTAATCACATTAAATTGACATTAATGACAAGTGCAAGTAATAATCATGCAAATACAAGAAATTCACAAAAAATACTAACAGCACTGAAGAGTGTGTTACACTTAATATTAAATCTCAATGTACTCAGTTCAAAAGGAATGCTACTCTGGTCAATTAGTACTGATTGTACATGAGATGAGGGAAGAGAGTACACCTACTAACAGATCATAGCACCAATAAAAGCTTTGTGCGCTTCAGAAGGCAACACGCCACACTAATTTGTATTAAAAGATATTTGGCTATTCAAAAATATTGACTTGAAGGGGAAAGATAAAACACGATGGGGTCAAATTATAGCAAAAAAACTTGCTATGCATAAATCGGTACTCATCCCTAATTTTGCGCCTTCTTTCCCTTGTTCCGTTTTAAATAACAGGTGACACCTGCGTTTGTGAAAATTATATCAAGAATACCAGGGTCCTGAAGATTGAGGTATAGATTTAGAACACAAAAATGGTCTTGGTTGTGCAAAAACACCTTAAAATAAAAAAATAGAAAATAAATATTACATTGAATACTTATAAAGTTGGTGGAAGATTTTGATATAGAGCTGATACAGAACAGATTGAGTGATACACTTTTGCTGCAAGACAGCTTAAAAATACTGAGTGCTTGTACATTGCACAAAACAATAACAATACAATTATAATAAATCAATGATATTATGAGATTCATGGTGAGCTAGATTGTACACTCCTATACATTTAAGTTATCCTTCCAGAACGCAAAATCTTAATGGTAAAACTAATGACTAATAAAGGAGAAAATATTCTCCACTTAACAAAATGGTGGCTAGAAGCTCACACCTTTACTTCTTAAGTCCTTACTCATGAAGCTCGCTCATGATGTAAAAACAAAACAAAAATGTCAAAGTGGGCAGTTCAGCAGCTCAGCTGTGGTGACTGCCCAAATTTAAGTTCAAACGCTGTTCATGTATAAGCAAGATTCCCCTTTCATTGCTCACGTTTTCATGCAGAACAAAGGAGTCTCGTGAGTAGATTTCACGACATAGTAAATAGAATCAAAAATACATTCATTTACAAATAATGTCAACAAGTCTTTCCAAAAAAATGAATAGTTCTTTGGTTTCATTAAAACACTAATGAATTACATTGGAAGCACTTCACCAAGGGGTACTTGCATACCCCTTGAAAAAAAAGTTTCATTATTGTCATTTGATGACACAGCTACTTGAAATTTGGAGATATAACAGAACAAGAACATATTTAATAAATTACAGGAATTTATAAATAATTAAAAAAAACTATTCATACAAGTAAAAAACTAAAACATTGTCTTACAACACATAACCTTGTTTGTATGCAGAAACAAAGGTGAAGTTCAAAACAAAACATGAACGTCCTGTGACAAAAACAAATGCGTAATATGATGTAGGAAGTACCACTGTTGGGAAGTACATACGTGTTTGGTTGGCAGCCTGACTGCAGTTGGGTCTAGTTTAGCACTGCACCGCATTAGCTTCAGCCTGCATCTTAGCCCTGAGAGTTTCTACATCATCATCTATTCGGACAATGGTACGGAATTTCTGGAAAAGGGGATTGGTTACAATTAGTGATGGTCAAGATGGTCAAATTGGCAATTCCTAAGTAGACTACTGGGATTTGAAATTGATGAATAGACGACTTGAGCTAGGCGAAAGAAGAGGAAGAAAATACCTTCCCGAACATGGCGGCCGGCCCCTCATTGGTCCTAGCAGCCGACGGCGGCCGGCCGCCATGTTCGGGAAGGTATTTTCTTCCTCTTCTTTCGCCTAGCTCAAGTCGTCTATCCAGGCTTATTCTTACCGTTTGGAAGTCTCCTGGGGTCTTGTGCCACAACCAGACCATGTAGCCGGGAATGCAGAGCATGGAGGAGAGCGCCGTGAACCAGCCGAATGCGTGGCACCACCACGGGTACTCGTAGTCCAGGTACTTGACTGGGGTCCATTGCACCAAGTTGAAGATGAACACGCTCTGAAAAAGTTGGCAGAAAGGCGGATTTGAGTAAAGTCAACCTGCGGGAGCGAGGCTCGTTTAAGTGGCGGTACTCACGATGCAAATGAAGGGTGTGGACACGACCCAGCAGAACTTCCACCAGCCCAGCGGGTAGTAGCCAATCATGTCCTTGATGCCGTCGTAGAAGCGGCCCACGCCGAAGGCCCAGGAGATGGACACGCACTCGAAGAAGATGAGGAAGAGCAGGCAGAAGCCGGACACGGCGTAGGAGTCGAGGATCTGGAAGACGTACATGCCGCCCGAGGTGATGCACGTCAGCCCCACCAGGTAGGAGATGATGCACACCACGGCGATGAAGAGCTCCTTGCGACGGCGCAGCAGCTGCGGCCACTCGTCCACCATGGCCGTGATGAAGCCCTCCATGGTGCAGAACTGGCTGTCCAGCCCGATGAACAGCAGCATGATGAAGAAGAGGCAGGACCAGAGCGGCGCGCCGGGCAGTTGCAGCACGGCCGACGGGTAGGCCAGGAAGGCCAGCCCCGGGCCCGACGCCGCCACCTCGGCCACGGGCTTCTGCTGCTCGTGCGCCATGAAGCCCACCACCGAGAAGATGACGAAGCCCGCGAACACGGACGTGGACGAGTTGACGGCGCACACGATCAGGGCGTCCCTGCAAAGCCACAAGCAGGCCGTCAGCGCCGTCAGCGACGCCACTGGCGATACCCCGCGCGCGCAGGGACTCCGCGCCGCGCCCCGCCGCAGCTACCCCGGCCGGGGATACCCCGCGCACCGAGGGACTCCGCGCCAGGCCCGTCAGGGAAGGCCAAGGGGTCTGGGCAACAAGTTCGTGGCAGCGCGCGCGGTTCGGGGCGGGAAGAAAGTTGCTCCAATTCCCCCCCCCCAGCTTACCCCTCACGGCCTCACGGTCTCAGGGGCGTATATACTCACTTGTACACGTTGTTGGTGAACTTGTTGTAGGAACCGAGGGCCACAAGCGTTCCCAGACCCAAACCGTACGAGAAGAAGATCTGAGTCACAGCGTCAATCCACACCTGCAAACAGTTTCCAGCAAGTTGAGTGCCGTTGTCCTCGTCTAAACATAGTAAAGGACAACAAAAAGAAGAGAGAGAGAGATGTGACGGGGAAAGCTGACTCACCTCGGACTCCTGCAGCTTGGACAGGTTGGGCATGACGTAGAACCGTATGCCCTCCCAGGCACCGGGCAGGGTGACTCCGCGCACCAAGAGGACCGTCAGCAGCACGTAGGGGAACAGCGCGGTGAAGTACACCACCTGCAGGCACAGACAGAGGCGTCACCCTTGTCCTTGTTTTTGTTGTTGTTTTTCTCGCGTGCTGGGAGTCCCCTCGGTCCACACTGCTTGGGCGACAATTGCAGCAGTTGCCGCGGGAAGGGACCGGGAAGGGAACGGGGAAGGATTGACGGACCCCGCAGCTCGTTTTGATGGATGTCCCATTCATGAAACACCGCGACAGACCCGTCCCTCTGGGTACACTGACAAAAGTTCAGCCAGCTGTTTTTTTTTGTGAGTCTTTTTTCAAAGAAACTTTGCAGAGCATCGGCCCTCGACGCAAATACATCGGTTGGGCATCGTTTTTGTTGCACATTGCCAATGGTTTTCTTTTCTGTCTGTCAGTGTGTTTGTGTGTCTGTCTGTGTGTCTGTCTGTCTGCCTGCCTGTCCGTCTGTCTGGCTGCCTCTCACCTTGCCCGTCCACTTGACGCCCTTCCAGATGCAGAAGTAGCACAGGATCCAGACGAGCAGCAAGGTCCCCGCCAGCTCCCAGCGGATGCCGCCCACGTGCTCCACGCCGGGGGAGATCTGCAGCGCTCGCCTCCTGCAGAAGGCCGCCAACGCCGCCAGTCAGGACCCTCGCTCGCACACAGTGGGCCAGAAAACCGGTGGAGGCGGCAAAAATCCCGGACGCGTTTTGAGCTCCAGAGTCGCTAAATGGGACTCGAACCGAACGTGTGACTCCACCAATGGACTGCTCTCCGAGCAAGGAATCCATTGGTGGGGTCACACGTTGGGTTCGAGCCCCATTTAGCGACTCTGGAGCTCAAAACGCGTCTAGAGTTTTGGCCGCCTCCGCGGTCTTCTTCTCATTTCGAAAGAACTCACTCCCAGAACTCCTTGACGGGGTCGCTCATCTCCTTGAGCGTCACGTTGTAGGAGTTCACGTTGCACACCCGCTGCGTCGTCTGGTTGATGTAGGCCGACCAGCAGGTCAGGTTCTTCCGGGCGTACGGGTTTACGCACTTGTACGTGTTCCAGTAGTTGTTGCAGGTCCTCCATGGCACGTCTGTGGGGCAGTGGTTGTGGTTTCATGGGGGACTTGATTTTTCAACATCAGACGCTTGTACTGGTGAACTTACCGGAACGCATGGACATGAAGAAGTAAAAGATGGCCCAGGCGAGGATGACGATGTAGTACACGTTCATCCAGCACGACATGACTGCAGCAGCGTAGCCAATTCCTGGAGGCAGTCAAACACAAATAAAAAATTTAGAAAAGAATAAAATAAAAATGTAAAAAATGATATTAAAAAAAAAACGGGCTTACCTTTGAAGATGGGGGCGATCTTGAAGACGCCGAGGCCGCCGATGGTGAGCATCTGGCCGAGGGCGAGCTCCATGAAGAACATGGGGATGCCGGCCAGGAAGAGGGTCAGGAAGTAGGGGATGAGGAAGGCGCCTCCGCCGTTCTTGTAGCAGAGGTAGGGGAAGCGCCACACGTTGCCCAGGCCGATGGCGAGGCCCACCACGGACAGGATGAAGTCCAGCTTGGAGGACCAGGATCCCCGCTCGGGCAGCGCGTTCTTGGAAACCGTGCCGCCCCCCGCGCCGCCCCCATCGCCGCCCCCGCTCGTCGACGCCACCACCTGCCATTTGAATTTAATTGCATTCACACCCAGAAAAAAATTTTCTCAATTTTTTTTGATATTTTTTTCAAAAAGTTTTTGTTGTAAAGAATTCTTTTCATTTAAAATTTTTGAATCAAAAACATTATTTCCTTAAAAAAAATTGTAGATCCAAGACGTTATTTTTTGGGAGCAGAAGTGCCTTACCACTCCACACTGGTTCATCTCCAGCGACAGAAGCGCCTTGTCCGTATTGAGGCTGGCTCCGTCCGCCATCTTGTCCCCGGGTTGGTCTCAGCCAATCACAGCATCACCTGCAACACCGTTAAACAGAGCCGTTACTCGCGAGTCAAGGTCGGCATCAAGACTGGCGCGCAGTCGAAGCGAGCCGAGCCCCTGCTAGGTAGGCCACCGCGTACCACGCACGCACCTCGGCACGACGGGCTTGCCTACCCTCTCTTCCACAGGCGCCTTGCCTCACGTTCGTTGACGAATTTATGAAAAAGTCTTACTTTGAATATCAAAACAATCTTCGAGTATATTAATTTCCATGACCCAAATCGTGGCAGTAAAAAAAAGCTCTTTCGACGCTTTCATCGTCAAGCTATTTACAAAAAAAAGGATGAAAAAACAACAACAAAGAATTGGCATGCGCAGAAGGCGGTGGTTCCGATCGAGCGACGCCCAATTCATCCTGATTACAATCAGGGGCTGCGTGCCTCCGGCTTCATCACCCTGCCCTGGCGCCTTCCAAGAAGAGGTATTGTTTCTCCGATGAATGCTCTTCTGGAGGGCGGTGCCGCAAGGGAGGGGGAGAAAAGGGGGGGGAGGGGGTAGGTTCGAGGACCCAAGAGAAGATGGAGAGGGCAGAGCGGGAGTGGAAAGGGGGTGGGGCGAAGGGTAACCAGCACTTGCTCCTTGACCGAGAAAAAAAAAATCGCGAAAATTTGTTGTTGCTCGAGTAAGCTACAAGCGTCAGCACGCTGAGGCCCTCAGCGAAGGGCTTGGCTGAGCTGCCCAGCCTGGCTTGTGCTTCCAGTAGCCGCAGCGACCGGCCAGGCAGCGTTGCCGAACTGCCAAAGCGGCCTGCCCCTTTTGTGCGGGTCAGTGCGGCCGAGTTTATCCCGGCAGGAGGTCAGCTGGCACGCGGGCACAGCCTAGCGCAGCGTTGCCGGGTCAGTCTCCAGTTCCGGCCCTGTCGCTCCGTCTCTCTCGCACCCATGGGGCGTCCCGTGTAGGTGCGAGAGAGACGGAGCGACTCTCGGAGTCAGTCTGAAGCACGGTCCGAGAATACGCGACTAGCCACTTGTCCCGGGGACCTTGGCGAAACCTTCACCGCCCAAACCGTCACGAGGAAAATTCCAGTCACACAGCATCCAAGTCCTTTTGCACGTTTCCCTCGTCGATTTTTGGAAGAGTCTCGTCTCGATTTACGAAAACCCTCGTCTTTCTCGGAGGGAACTAACGACACAAGGGGCTCCAATGATGCGGGAATTAAGTCATTAATGCGAGCCGAGCCTGGCCCCCCTTTTTTCCTGTTTCATTTCATTAAGAAAGATTTCTCCGCAGAGTCCGAGGGGGCAAAAACTCGGGATTTTCGTGTACACATGATTCGGAAAACGCAATGATTGCGCATGGTTTTAATTGATTTCATGGCTGATTTTGCCTTATTTCGCGACGCACCAGGGTGATGTTGAGCGTGATTGCGTGTGATTGTGTTCGGAAAGAAATGATTTCGGACTGATTTGGCCTGGTTTCGTGTGATACTGCCTAATTTCGGTCGATTTTAGTGATTTTGGCTGATTTCGGATTGCTTGATTTCGCGTGATTCTCAATGATTCGCGTGTGATTTCGGGGGCCGTGTACACATGATTGCGCGAGTTTTTGCCCCCTCGGCAGAGTCACGGCGGCGGCGAGATGGATGGCGGTGCGGCACGACTAATTTCCGCAACACTTTTTAGACACTTTTTAGACAGTTTCCGGACATCTCGACGGGGCGTCACCCCTCCAAATTGGCCCGTCGCACAGTGGGCCAGAAGACCTCTGGAGGCGGCCAAAACTCTAGACGCGTTTTGAGCTCCAGAGTCGCGAAATGGGCCTCGAACCGAACGTGTGACCCCACCAATGGATGGCTCTCCAAACGAGGAATCCATTGGTGGGGTCACACGTTAGGTTCGAGTCCCATTTAGCGACTCTGGAGCTCAAAACGCGTCTAGAGTTTTGGCCGCCTCCACCGGTCTTCTGGCCCACTGTGGGTCGCAGGCCAGGCATAATTAGTCTGCCTCAAGCGGGGCGGCGAACCGTCGGGACAGACGAACACTCAACACAAAACACAGACGGGAGAGTCCAGAGCTGCCACGTACGCAGGCGAAAATGCCCCCCAGTGTTGCCAACCTTAGGCTGCCGACAAAGCAACGTCTCCAGAGGGAAGTCCAGATATTGCCTAACAGGCTAATTTTCGAAGAGTGGTTGAAATACTCCTCCCGCCGGTATTCGAACCTCGATCCCTCTGCACTCTCACTTCACTGACACTTGCCGATCGCACCGACCACCGGACACGGCACGGGCCGAAAAAAAAAGAAGACGGCGGCAGCCACTGGGATTCGAACCCGCGTCGATGCACTTGCCATGTGGCGGGGGGCTCTTCGGGGGGCACTGCGTTCGCTGCGTTCTCCATTGCACGACAGGAGGCCACTGCGGCGGGGCCGGGGGCCGCCCAGGGCCGGCCACCTCCCGCGGCGAGGGCCCCCTCCCCCCCCCTCGGAGGGGACCGACAGGGGGAAAAGAGGTGGGGGCCGAGCCAGGCCGAGCTCGCGTATCCGGGTCGTATTAACGCGTCGCCCCAACACCCCCGACACCCGAAGGCCCGCAGGCAAGGCCCGCAGGCCCGCAGGAAGCCGCGAGGCTCTTTGGGCAGACGCGAGGCGGTTACGGTGCAGGCGACAGAGGGAGGTACCTCCGGCCGCGCACAGCGGGCCTGAAGACCGGTGGAGGCGGCCGAAACTCCAGTGGCGTTTTGAGCTCCAGAGTCGCTGAATGGGACTCGAAACGAACGACGAACGTGTGACCCCACCAGTGGATTCCTCGTTCGGAGCATTGGTGGGGTCACACGTTCGGTTCAAGTCCCATTTAGCGACTCTGGAGCCCAAAACGCGCCCGGGACGGTGTAGGAGGCGAACTGTACCCGTCGGCGCAGAGTACCCCCGGGTGCACAACGCCTAGGGCCATAGAACCCTGGGGTACATGACGACTAGGTCCAATGTACCCAGGGGTACAATGCGCCTAGGTGCCAGGCGAATTGTACCCCGGGTACAATGCGGCTAGGCGAAATGTACCCCGGGGTACATTTTGCCTAGGCTTATTGTATCCCCCGCCGGCCGGAGGAGGATGCACGTCGCCTAGGCGCAATGCACCCCCCCGGATACAAAGAGCCTGGAGGAGTATCCCCTCGGCCGGCCGGAGGGGGATACAAAAAGCCTAGGCGCAATGCATCCCCCCCCGGATACAAAAATCGAGAAAAAAAAGAAGAAAAAAGGGGGGCCCTTCTCCCACCTCCGCACACAGGTCGGAGGGCCGCCTGCAACTTCGGTGGATCGGGGGAACCGGTGCTTTACAGGCGGCGACCCCAGGGGTTCTCGTCTGTATATGGGCCGGGCTTGAAGGGCGGGTTTGACAGTCTCTCTCTGCCTTGAGAGCCTTTGCTTTTCGCGGGGTGGTCTGTACCAATGTACACCCGCTGTCCGGCGCTCTCTACCAAACATACAGCTTGTTTAAGGGCCAGCTTCAAAGGACTTATCATCTCCTCCCGACGAATCAGGAGGACCCACCCGCGACCAATTACGGGTGGCTGGATTGACGGATCAAATACTCCGTCGCTCCAGTGCCGAGGCCAACCCGCCGAAGCGCAGTTGCTTTTTAGACACCCCAGCGGAGTGGCCAGGTGAATGTGACTCTGACCACTACGCTATCAAGCTTGTACGTCTGGCGTCGTGTTGGACGACGGGTTTGAGTTGCAGTGGAAGGAAGCCAGTCGAAAAATGTAATGAAATGATGGGAGTCGATCCCAGGACTCTACTGCCGGGCCGCACGACTTTTGCCGCTCGCCCACCACGGCCCATGACGAATGGAGCGGCGTGAGGCGGGCTCTTGACGCGACAGGAATGGACCGACCCGGTCAAAATTTCACAAGAAGTTTGGGGAGTCGAACCGCCGACCTCAGCACGGAGAAGCGACGCCTCTACTCCCTAGACCACCACAGCACATGCAGTTTGTTGGCTGCAGTCACGGTTTTCAACCACACTGGGCGAGGCAGTAAAAATAAATGTTAAAGTTCCTATAGGAATCGAACCCCCGACGTGTGGGACTGTTCTACACGGCTCCGCTCTGATGGCCTCAAACCGTTCCACAAAAGAAAGGAAATCGAAAAAAAATTTTGAGATGCCGGTATTCGAACACCGCAAATGTTACAGACGTTCGATCGCATTTGCACAGTGCGGTGTTCGAATACCGGCATCTCAAAATTTTTTTTCGATTTCCTTTCTTTTGTGGAACGGTTTGAGGCCATCAGAGCGGAGCCGTGTAGAACAGTCCCACACGTCGGGGGTTCGATTCCTATAGGAACTTTAACATTTATTTTTACTGCCTCGCCCAGTGTGGTTGAAAACCGTGACTGCAGCCAACAAACTGCATGTGCTGTGGTGGTCTAGGGAGTAGAGGCGTCGCTTCTCCGTGCTGAGGTCGGCGGTTCGACTCCCCAAACTTCTTGTGAAATTTTGACCGGGTCGGTCCATTCCTGTCGCGTCAAGAGCCCGCCTCACGCCGCTCCATTCGTCATGGGCCGTGGTGGACGAGCGGCAAAAGTCGTGCGGCCCGGCAGTAGAGTCCTGGGATCGACTCCCATCATTTCATTACATTTTTCGACTGGCTTCCTTCCACTGCAACTCAAACCCGTCGTCCAACACGACGCCAGACGTACAAGCTTGATAGTGTAGTGGTCAGAGTCACATTCACCTGGCCACTCCGCTGGGGTGTCTAAAAAGCAACTGCGCTTCGGCGGGTTGGCCTCGGCACTGGAGCGACGGAGTATTTGATCCGTCAATCCAGCCACCCGTAATTGGTCGCGGGTGGGTCCTCCTGATTCGTCGGGAGGAGATGATAAGTCCTTTGAAGCTGGCCCTTAAACAAGCTGTATGTTTGGTAGAGAGCGCCGGACAGCGGGTGTACATTGGTACAGACCACCCCGCGAAAAGCAAAGGCTCTCAAGGCAGAGAGAGACTGTCAAACCCGCCCTTCAAGCCCGGCCCATATACAGACG